CCCTAACCGCCATGCTCTCCCCCTAACCGCCATGCTTCTCTCCCTAACCGCCATGCTTCTCTCCCTAACCGCCATGCTTCTCTCCCTAACCGCCATGCTTCTCTCCCTAACCGCCATGCTTCTCTCCCTAACCGCCATGCTTCTCTCCCTAACCGCCATGCTTCTCTCCCTAACCGCCATGCTTCTCTCCCTAACCGCCATGCTTTCCCTCCTAACCGCCATGCTTCTCCCCCTAACCGCCATGCTTCTCTCCCTAACCGCCATGCTTCTCTCCCTAACCGCCATGCTTCTCTCCCTAACCGCCATGCTTCTCTCCCTAACCGCCATGCTTCTCTCCCTAACCGCCATGCTTCTCTCCCTAACCGCCATGCTTCTCTCCCTAACCGCCATGCTTCTCTCCCTAACCGCCATGCTTCTCTCCCTAACCGCCATGCTTCTCTCCCTAACCGCCATGCTTCTCTCCCTAACCGCCATGCTTCTCTCCCTAACCGCCATGCTTCTCTCCCTAACCGCCATGCTTCTCTCCCTAACCGCCATGCTTCTCTCCCTAACCGCCATGCTTCTCTCCTAACCCCCTGCTTCTCTCTCCTAACCGCCATGCTTCTCCCCTAACCGCCATGCTTCTCCCCTAACCGCCATGCTTTCTCCCCTAACCGCCATGCTTCTCCCCCTAACCGCCATGCTTCTCCCCCTAACCGCCATGCTTCTCTCCCTAACCGCCATGCTTCTCTCCCTAACCGCCATGCTTCTCTCCCTAACCGCCATGCTTCTCTCCCTAACCGCCATGCTTCTCTCCCTAACCGCCATGCTTCTCCCCCTAACCCGCTGCTTCTCCCCCTAACCGCCATGCTTCTCCCCCTAACCGCCATGCTTCTCCCCCTAACCGCCATGCTTCTCCCCTAACCGCCATGCTTCTCCCCTAACCGCCATGCTTCTCCCCCTAACCGCCATGCTTCTCCCCCTAACCGCCATGCTCTCCCCCTACCGCCATGCTTCTCCCCCTAACCGCCATGCTTCTCCCCCTAACCGCCATGCTTCTCCCCCTAACCGCCATGCTTCTCCCCCTAACCGCCATGCTTCTCCCCCTAACCGCCATGCTTCTCCCCCTAACCGCCATGCTTCTCCCCCTAACCGCCATGCTTCTCCCCCCTAACCGCCATGCTTCTCCCCCTAACCGCCATGCTTCTCCCCCTAACCGCCATGCTTCTCTCCCTAACCGCCATGCTTCTCTCCCTAACCGCCATGCTTCTCTCCCTAACCGCCATGCTTCTCTCCCTAACCGCCATGCTTCTCTCCCTAACCGCCATGCTTCCCCCTAACCGCCATGCTTCTCCCCCTAACCGCCATGCTTCTCCCCTAACCGCCATGCTTCTCCCCCTAACCGCCATGCTTCTCCCCTAACCGCCATGCTTCTCCCCCTAACCGCCATGCTTCTCCCCCTAACCACCATGCTTCTCCCCCTAACCGCCATGCTTCTCCCCCTAACCGCCATGCTTCTCCCCCTAACCGCCATGCTTCTCCCCTTACCGCCATGCTTCTCCCGCTAACCCCCATGCTTCTCCCCCTAACCGCCATGCTTCTCCCCCTAACCGCCATGCTTCTCCCCCTAACCGCCATGCTTCTCCCCCTAACCGCCATGCTTCTCTCCCTAACCGCCATGCTACTCCCCCTAACCGCCATGCTCTCTCCCCTAACCGCCATGCTTCTCCCCCTAACCGCCATGCTTCTCCCCCTAACCGCCATGCTTCTCTCCCTAACCGCCATGCTTCTCTCCCTAACCGCCATGCTTCTTCTCCCCCTAACCGCCATGCTTCTCCCCCTAACCGCCATGCTTCTCCCCCTAACCGCCATGCTTCTCTCCCTAACCGCCATGCTTCTCTCCCTAACCGCCATGCTTCTCTCCCTAACCGCCATGCTTCTCTCCCTAACCGCCATGCTTCTCTCCCTAACCGCCATGCTTCTCTCCCTAACCGCCATGCTTCTCTCCCTAACCGCCATGCTTCTCTCCCTAACCGCCATGCTTCTCTCCCTAACCGCCATGCTTCTCTCCCTAACCGCCATGCTTCTCTCCCTAACCGCCATGCTCTTCTCTCCTAACCGCCATGCTTCTCCCCCTAACCGCCATGCTTCTCCCCTAACCGCCATGCTTCTCCCCTAACCGCCATGCTTCTCCCCTAACCGCCATGCTTCTCCCTAACCGCCATGCTTCTCCCCTAACCGCCATGCTTCTCCCCCTAACCGCCATGCTTCTCCCCCTAACCGCCATGCTTCTCCCCCTAACCGCCATGCTTCTCCCCTAACCGCCATGCTTCTCCCCCTAACCGCCATGCTTCTCCCCTAACCGCCATGCTTCTCTCCCTAACCGCCATGCTTCTCTCCCTAACCGCCATGCTTCTCTCCCTAACCGCCATGCTTCTCTCCCTAACCGCCATGCTTCTCTCCCTAACCGCCATGCTTCTCTCCCTAACCGCCATGCTTCTCTCCCTAACCGCCATGCTTCTCTCCCTAACCGCCATGCTTCTCTCCCTAACCGCCATGCTTCTCTCCCTAACCGCCATGCTTCTCTCCCTAACCGCCATGCTTCTCTCCCTAACCGCCATGCTTCTCTCCCTAACCGCCATGCTTCTCTCCCTAACCGCCATGCTTCTCTCCCTAACCGCCATGCTAAGTTGGAATATACGCGTTTCGCGTTTTGTACGCACGCGTGTATACGCTAGAGTATAATACGCAATACGTCCAGAGAGAGGATGTCAATTCGCTTGAAATACGGAGGGGCGGGCAGCGTAAAAACTTTTCCGGGCAGGGTAACATACCAATTTCTAGAGAGGGGAGGGGGAGAAGGTGTTATACACCCACACCTATCCCTTCGTCTGCTTTTTTTTTGGAGTGGGATTTCTCGCGGATATAAATGCAAAAGTGCCTGCTTGAAATTGAGACGATCGCTATCTTCCTGAAACACCAGTGTGTGGTGGAACCTTCCGCGGACGCAATTCGAACCTACGTGCACTCGCAGGAGTGCTTCAGGGGGTAGATATGGCTGAAGGTCAACTACGAAAATGAGGAATGCGTCGTTTGCTTCGAGCTCACCTTGTGTACGTACCTGCTGTGCGTTGCTTTCTTGGTGGGGATGGATGGGTTGGATCTGAGAGGTATGCTGAGATTCAAAGCGGTTGAAAGATTGCGAAATTCAAATTTGGGAGCCCAAATTGAGTTCGCGATGTTTCTCACAGATTGTTTCGCATCGCAACTCGCAATTCCCGTTTTTAGGTTTTTTTTTTTTCGACGGGCTGCCCGCCCGAAATCCGAGCGTATTTTTAGCGTATCGCGTTTTTGCGGATATACGCAAGCGTACAAACGCAATACGCCTTGCCAGCCGAGCGTATATTCCAACTTAGCCGCCATGCTTCTCCCCTAACCGCCATGCTTCTCCCCCTAACCGCCATGCTTCTCCCCCTAGCCGCCATGCTTCTCCCCCTAACCGCCATGCTTCTCCCCCTAACCGCCATGCTTCTTCCTCCCTAACCGCCATGCTCTCCCCCCTAAACGCCATGCTTCTCCCCTAACCGCCATGCTTCTCCCCCTAACCGCCATGCTTCTCCCCTAACCGCCATGCTTCTCCCCCCTAACCGCCATGCTTCTCCCCCTAACCGCCATGCTTCTCCCCCTAACCGCCATGCTTCTCCCTAACCGCCATGCTACTCCCCCTAACCGCCATGCTTCTCCCCCTAACCGCCATGCTTCTCCCCCTAACCGCCATGCTTCTCCCCCTAACCGCCATGCTTCTCTCCCTAACCGCCATGCTTCTCTCCCTAACCGCCATGCTTCTCTCCCTAACCGCCATGCTTCTCTCCCTAACCGCCATGCTCTCCCCCTCCCTAACCGCCATGCTTCTCCCCCTAACCGCCATGCTTCTCCTCCCTAACCGCCATGCTTCTCCCCCTAACCGCCATGCTTCTCCCCCTAACCGCCATGCTTCTCCCCCTAACCGCCATGCTTCTCCCCTAACCGCCATGCTTCTCCCCTAACCGCCATGCTTCTCTCCCTAACCGCCATGCTTCTCTCCCTAACCGCCATGCTCTCCCCCTAAACCGCCATGCTTCTCCCCCTAACCGCCATGCTTCTCTCCCTAACCGCCATGCTTCTCTCCCTAACCGCCATGCTTCTCTCCCTAACCGCCATGCTTCTCTCCCTAACCGCCATGCTTCTCTCCCTAACCGCCATGCTTCTCTCCCTAACCGCCATGCTTCTCTCCCTAACCGCCATGCTTCTCTCCCTAACCGCCATGCTTCTCTCCCTAACCGCCATGCTTCTCTCCCTAACCGCCATGCTTCTCTCCCTAACCGCCATGCTTCTCTCCCTAACCGCCATGCTTCTCTCCCTAACCGCCATGCTTCTCTCCCTAACCGCCATGCTTCTCTCCCTAACCGCCATGCTTCTCTCCCTAACCGCCATGCTTCTCTCCCTAACCGCCATGCTTCTCTCCCTAACCGCCATGCTTCTCTCCCTAACCGCCATGCTTCTCTCCCTAACCGCCATGCTTCTCTCCCTAACCGCCATGCTTCTCTCCCTAACCGCCATGCTTCTCTCCCTAACCGCCATGCTTCTCTCCCTAACCGCCATGCTTCTCTCCCTAACCGCCATGCTTCTCTCCTCTAACCGCCATGCTTCTCTCCCTAACCGCCATGCTTCTCTCCCTAACCGCCATGCTTTCCTCCCTAACCGCCATGCTTCTCCCCCTAACCGCCATGCTTCTCCCCCTAACCGCCATGCTTCTCCCCCTAACCGCCATGCTTCTCCCCCTAACGCCATGCTTCTCTCCCTAACCGCCATGCTTCTCTCCCTAACCGCCATGCTTCTCTCCCTAACCGCCATGCTTCTCTCCCTAACCGCCATGCTTCTCTCCTAACCGCCATGCTTCTCTCCCTAACCGCCATGCTTCTCTCCCTAACCGCCATGCTTCTCTCCCTAACCGCCATGCTTCTCTCCCTAACCGCCATGCTTCTCTCCCTAACCGCCATGCTTCTCTCCCTAACCGCCATGCTCCCCCTAACCGCCATGCTTCTCCCCCTAACCGCCATGCTTCTCCCCCTAACCGCCATGCTTCTCCCCCTAACCGCCATGCTAAGTTGGAATATACGCGTTTCGCGTTTTGTACGCACGCGTGTATACGCTAGAGTATAATACGCAATACGTCCAGAGAGGATGTTGAAATTCGCTTGAAATACGGAGGGGCGGGCAGCGTAAAAACTTTTCCGGGCAGGGTAACATACCAATTTCTAGAGAGGGGAGGGGGAGAAGGTGTTTATCACCCACACCTATCCCTTCGTCTGTTTTTTTTTTGGAGTGGGATTTCTCCGGATATAAATGCAAAAAGTGCCTGAAATTGAGACGACGCTCGCTATCTTCCTGAAACACCAGTGTGGTGGAACCTTCCGCGGACGCAATTCGAACCTACGTGCACTCGCAGGAGTGCTTCAGGGGGTAGATATGGCTGAAGGTCAACTACGAAATGAGGAATGCGTCGTTTGCTTCGAGCTCACCTTGTGTACGTACCTGCTGTGCGTGGCTTTCTTGGTGGGGATGGATGGGTGGATCTGAGAGGTATGCTGAGATTCAAAGCGGTTTGAAAGATTGCGAAATTCAAATTTGGGAGCCCAAATTGAGTTCGCGATGTTTCTCACAGATTGTTCCCATCGCAACTCGCAATTCCCGATTTTAGGTTTTTTTTTTTCGACGGGCTGCCCGCCCGAAACCGAGCGTATTTTTAGCGTATCGCGTTTTTGCGGATATACGCAAGCGTACAAACGCAATACGCCTTGCCAGCCGAGCGTATATTCCAACTTAGCCGCCATGCTTCTCCCCCTAACCGCCATGCTCCCCCTAACCGCCATGCTTCTCCCCCTAACCGCCATGCTTCTCCCCTAACCGCCATGCTTCTCCCCCTAACCGCCATGCTTCTCTCCCTAACCGCCATGCTTCTCTCCCTAACCGCCATGCTTCTCTCCTAACCGCCATGCTTCTCCCCCTAACCGCCATGCTTCTCCCCCTAACCGCCATGCTTCTCTCCCTAACCGCCATGCTTCTCTCCCTAACCGCCATGCTTCTCTCCCTAACCGCCATGCTTCTCTCCCTAACCGCCATGCTTCTCTCCCTAACCGCCATGCTTCTCTCCCTAACCGCCATGCTTCTCTCCCTAACCGCCATGCTTCCCCCCTAACCGCCATGCTTCTCCCCCTAACCGCCATGCTTCTCTCCCTAACCGCCATGCTTCTCTCCCTAACCGCCATGCTTCTCTCCCTAACCGCCATGCTTCTCTCCCTAACCGCCATGCTTCTCTCCCTAACCGCCATGCTTCTCTCCCTAACCGCCATGCTTCTCTCCCTAACCGCCATGCTTCTCTCCCTAACCGCCATGCTTCTCTCCCTAACCGCCATGCTTCTCTCCCTAACCGCCATGCTTCTCTCCCTAACCGCCATGCTTCTCTCCCTAACCGCCATGCTTCTCTCCCTAACCGCCATGCTTCTCTCCCTAACCGCCATGCTTCTCTCCCTAACCGCCATGCTTTTCCCCCTAACCGCCATGCTTCTCCCCTAACCGCCATGCTTCTCCCCCTAACCGCCATGCTTCTCCCCCTAACCGCCATGCTTCTCCCCCTAACCGCCATGCTTCTTCCCCTAACCGCCATGCTTCTCCCCCTAACCGCCATGCTTCTCCCCCTAACCGCCATGCTTCTCTCCCTAACCGCCATGCTTCTCTCCCTAACCGCCATGCTTCTCTCCCTAACCGCCATGCTTCTCTCCCTAACCGCCATGCTTCTCTCCCTAACCGCCATGCTTCTCTCCCTAACCGCCATGCTTCTCTCCCTAACCGCCATGCTTCTCTCCCTAACCGCCATGCTTCTCTCCCTAACCGCCATGCTTCTCTCCCTAACCGCCATGCTTCTCTCCCTAACCGCCATGCTTCTCTCCCTAACCGCCATGCTTCTCTCCCTAACCGCCATGCTTCTCTCCCTAACCGCCATGCTTCTCTCCCTAACCGCCATGCTTCTCTCCCTAACCGCCATGCTTCTCTCCCTAACCGCCATGCTTCTCTCCCTAACCGCCATGCTTCTCTCCCTAACCGCCATGCTTCTCTCCCTAACCGCCATGCTTCTCTCCCTAACCGCCATGCTTCTCTCCCTAACCGCCATGCTACTCCCCCTAACCGCCATGCTTCTCCCCCTAACCGCCATGCTTCTCCCCCTAACCGCCATGCTTCTCCCCCTAACCGCCATGCTTCTCTCCCTAACCGCCATGCTTCTCTCCCTAACCGCCATGCTTCTCCCTCTAACCGCCATGCTTCTCCCCCTAACCGCCATGCTTCTCCCCCTAACCGCCATGCTTCTCCCCCTAACCGCCATGCTTCTCCCCCTAACCGCCATGCTTCTCTCCCTAACCGCCATGCTTCTCTCCCTAACCGCCATGCTTCTCTCCCTAACCGCCATGCTTCTCTCCCTAACCGCCATGCTTCTCCCCCTAACGCCATGCTTCTCTCCCTAACCGCCATGCTTCTCTCCCTAACCGCCATGCTTCTCTCCCTAACCGCCATGCTTCTCTCCCTAACCGCCATGCTTCTCTCCCTAACCGCCATGCTTCTCTCCCTAACCGCCATGCTTCTCTCCCTAACCGCCATGCTTCTCTCCCTAACCGCCATGCTTCTCTCCCTAACCGCCATGCTTCTCTCCCTAACCGCCATGCTTCTCTCCCTAACCGCCATGCTTCTCTCCCTAACCGCCATGCTTCTCTCCCTAACCGCCATGCTTCTCTCCCTAACCGCCATGCTTCTCTCCCTAACCGCCATGCTTCTCTCCCTAACCGCCATGCTTCTCTCCCTAACCGCCATGCTTCTCTCCCTAACCGCCATGCTTCTCTCCCTAACCGCCATGCTTCTCTCCCTAACCGCCATGCTTCTCTCCCTAACCGCCATGCTTCTCTCCCTAACCGCCATGCTTCTCTCCCTAACCGCCATGCTTCTCTCCCTAACCGCCATGCTTCTCTCCCTAACCGCCATGCTTCTCTCCCTAACCGCCATGCTTCTCTCCCTAACCGCCATGCTTCTCTCCCTAACCGCCATGCTTCTCTCCCTAACCGCCATGCTTCTCTCCCTAACCGCCATGCTTCTCTCCCTAACCGCCATGCTTCTCTCCCTAACCGCCATGCTTCTCTCCCTAACCGCCATGCTTCTCTCCCTAACCGCCATGCTTCTCTCCCTAACCGCCATGCTTCTCTCCCTAACCGCCATGCTTCTCTCCCTAACCGCCATGCTTCTCTCCCTAACCGCCATGCTTCTCTCCCTAACCGCCATGCTTCTCTCCCTAACCGCCATGCTTCTCTCCCTAACCGCCATGCTTCTCTCCCTAACCGCCATGCTTCTCTCCCTAACCGCCATGCTTCTCTCCCTAACCGCCATGCTTCTCTCCCTAACCGCCATGCTTCTCTCCCTAACCGCCATGCTTCTCTCCCTAACCGCCATGCTTCTCTCCCTAACCGCCATGCTTCTCTCCCTAACCGCCATGCTTCTCTCCCTAACCGCCATGCTTCTCTCCCTAACCGCCATGCTAAGTTGGAATATACGCGTTTCGCGTTTTGTACGCACGCGTGTATACGCTAGAGTATAATACGCAATACGTCCAGAGAGGATGTCGAAATTCGCTTGAAATACGGAGGGGCGGGCAGCGTAAAAACTTTTCCGGGCAGGGTAACATACCAATTTCTAGAGAGGGGAGGGGGAGAAGGTGTTATACACCCACACCTATCCCTTCGTCTGCTTTTTTTTTGGAGTGGGATTTCTCGCGGATATAAATGCAAAAGTGCCTGAAATTGAGACGATCGCTATCTTCCTGAAAACACCAGTGTGGTGGAACCTTCCGCGGACGCAATTCGAACCTACGTGCACTCGCAGGAGTGCTTCAGGGGGTAGATATGGCTGAAGGTCAACTACGAAAATGAGGAATGCGTCGTTTGCTTCGAGCTCACCTTGTGTACGTACCTGCTGTGCGTTGCTTTCTTGGTGGGGATGGATGGGTTGGATCTGAGAGGTATGCTGAGATTCAAAGCGGTTGAAAGATTGCGAAATTCAAATTTGGGAGCCCAAATTGAGTTCGCGATGTTTCTCACAGATTGTTCCGCATCGCAACTCGCAATTCCCGTTTTTAGGTTTTTTTTTTTTCGACGGGCTGCCCGCCCGAAATCCGAGCGTATTTTTAGCGTATCGCGTTTTTGCGGATATACGCAAGCGTACAAACGCAATACGCCTTGCCAGCCGAGCGTATATTCCAACTTAGCCGCCATGCTTCTCCCCCTAACCGCCATGCTTCTCCCCCTAACCGCCATGCTTCTCCCCCTAGCCGCCATGCTTCTCCCCCTAACCGCCATGCTTCTCCCCCTAACCGCCATGCTTCTCCCCCTAACCGCCATGCTTCTCCCCCTAACCGCCATGCTTCTCCCCCTAACCGCCATGCTTCTCCCCCTAACCGCCATGCTTCTCCCCCTAACCGCCATGCTTCTCCCCCTAACCGCCATGCTTCTCCCCCTAACCGCCATGCTTCTCCCCCTAACCGCCATGCTTCTCTCCCTAACCGCCATGCTACTCCCCCTAACCGCCATGCTTCTCCCCCTAACCGCCATGCTTCTCCCCCTAACCGCCATGCTTCTCCCCCTAACCGCCATGCTTCTCTCCCTAACCGCCATGCTTCTCTCCCTAACCGCCATGCTTCTCTCCCTAACCGCCATGCTTCTCTCCCTAACCGCCATGCTTCTCTCCCTAACCGCCATGCTTCTCTCCCTAACCGCCATGCTTCTCTCCCTAACCGCCATGCTTCTCTCCCTAACCGCCATGCTTCTCTCCCTAACCGCCATGCTTCTCTCCCTAACCGCCATGCTTCTCTCCCTAACCGCCATGCTTCTCTCCCTAACCGCCATGCTTCTCTCCCTAACCGCCATGCTTCTCTCCCTAACCGCCATGCTTCTCTCCCTAACCGCCATGCTTCTCTCCCTAACCGCCATGCTTCTCTCCCTAACCGCCATGCTTCTCTCCCTAACCGCCATGCTTCTCTCCCTAACCGCCATGCTTCTCTCCCTAACCGCCATGCTTCTCTCCCTAACCGCCATGCTTCTCTCCCTAACCGCCATGCTTCTCTCCCTAACCGCCATGCTTCTCTCCCTAACCGCCATGCTTCTCTCCCTAACCGCCATGCTTCTCTCCCTAACCGCCATGCTTCTCCCCCTAACTGCCATGCTTCTCCCCCTAACCGCCATGCTTCTCCCCCTAACCGCCATGCTTCTCCCCCTAACCGCCATGCTTCTCCCCCTAACCGCCATGCTTCTCCCCCTAACCGCCATGCTTCTCTCCCTAACCGCCATGCTTCTCTCCCTAACCGCCATGCTTCTCTCCCTAACCGCCATGCTTCTCTCCCTAACCGCCATGCTTCTCTCCCTAACCGCCATGCTTCTCTCCCTAACCGCCATGCTTCTCTCCCTAACCGCCATGCTTCTCTCCCTAACCGCCATGCTTCTCTCCCTAACCGCCATGCTTCTCTCCCTAACCGCCATGCTTCTCTCCCTAACCGCCATGCTTCTCTCCCTAACCGCCATGCTTCTCTCCCTAACCGCCATGCTTCTCTCCCTAACCGCCATGCTTCTCTCCCTAACCGCCATGCTTCTCTCCCTAACCGCCATGCTTCTCTCCCTAACCGCCATGCTTCTCTCCCTAACCGCCATGCTTCTCTCCCTAACCGCCATGCTTCTCTCCCTAACCGCCATGCTTCTCTCCCTAACCGCCATGCTTCTCTCCCTAACCGCCATGCTTCTCTCCCTAACCGCCATGCTTCTCTCCCTAACCGCCATGCTTCTCTCCCTAACCGCCATGCTTCTCTCCCTAACCGCCATGCTTCTCTCCCTAACCGCCATGCTTCTCTCCCTAACCGCCATGCTTCTCTCCCTAACCGCCATGCTTCTCTCCCTAACCGCCATGCTTCTCTCCCTAACCGCCATGCTTCTCTCCCTAACCGCCATGCTAAGTTGGAATATACGCGTTTCGCGTTTTGTACGCACGCGTGTATACGCTAGAGTATAATACGCAATACGTCCAGAGAGGATGTTGAAATTCGCTTGAAATACGGAGGGGCGGGCAGCGTAAAAACTTTTCCGGGCAGGGTAACATACCAATTTCTAGAGAGGGGAGGGGGAGAAGGTGTTATACACCCACACCTATCCCTTCGTCTGTTTTTTTTTTGGAGTGGGATTTCTCGCGGATATAAATGCAAAAGTGCCTGAAATTGAGACGATCGCTATCTTCCTGAAACACCAGTGTGGTGGAACCTTCCGCGGACGCAATTCGAACCTACGTGCACTCGCAGGAGTGCTTCAGGGGGTAGATATGGCTGAAGGTCAACTACGAAAATGAGGAATGCGTCGTTTGCTTCGAGCTCACCTTGTGTACGTACCTGCTGTGCGTGGCTTTCTTGGTGGGGATGGATGGGTTGGATCTGAGAGGTATGCTGAGATTCAAAGCGGTTGAAAGATTGCGAAATTCAAATTTGGGAGCCCAAATTGAGTTCGCGATGTTTCTCACAGATTGTTCCGCATCGCAACTCGCAATTCCCGATTTTAGTTTTTTTTTTTCGACGGGCTGCCCGCCCGAAATCCGAGCGTATTTTAGCGTATCGCGTTTTTGCGGATATACGCAAGCGTACAAACGCAATACGCCTTGCCAGCCGAGCGTATATTCCAACTTAGCCGCCATGCTTCTCCCCCTAACCGCCATGCTTCTCCCCCTAACCGCCATGCTTCTCCCCCTAACCGCCATGCTTCTCCCCCTAACCGCCATGCTTCTCCCCCTAACCGCCATGCTTCTCTCCCTAACCGCCATGCTTCTCTCCCTAACCGCCATGCTTCTCTCCCTAACCGCCATGCTTCTCTCCCTAACCGCCATGCTTCTCTCCCTAACCGCCATGCTTCTCTCCCTAACCGCCATGCTTCTCTCCCTAACCGCCATGCTTCTCTCCCTAACCGCCATGCTTCTCTCCCTAACCGCCATGCTTCTCTCCCTAACCGCCATGCTTCTCTCCCTAACCGCCATGCTTCTCTCCCTAACCGCCATGCTTCCCCCCCTAACCGCCATGCTTCTCCCCCTAACCGCCATGCTTCTCTCCCTAACCGCCATGCTTCTCTCCCTAACCGCCATGCTTCTCTCCCTAACCGCCATGCTTCTCTCCCTAACCGCCATGCTTCTCTCCCTAACCGCCATGCTTCTCTCCCTAACCGCCATGCTTCTCTCCCTAACCGCCATGCTTCTCTCCCTAACCGCCATGCTTCTCTCCCTAACCGCCATGCTTCTCTCCCTAACCGCCATGCTTCTCTCCCTAACCGCCATGCTTCTCTCCCTAACCGCCATGCTTCTCTCCCTAACCGCCATGCTTCTCTCCCTAACCGCCATGCTTCTCTCCCTAACCGCCATGCTTTTCCCCTAACCGCCATGCTTCTCCCCCTAACCGCCATGCTTCTCCCCCTAACCGCCATGCTTCTCCCCCTAACCGCCATGCTTCTCCCCCTAACCGCCATGCTTCTTCCCTAACCGCCATGCTTCTCCCCCTAACCGCCATGCTTCTCCCCCTAACCGCCATGCTTCTCTCCCTAACCGCCATGCTTCTCTCCCTAACCGCCATGCTTCTCTCCCTAACCGCCATGCTTCTCTCCCTAACCGCCATGCTTCTCTCCCTAACCGCCATGCTTCTCTCCCTAACCGCCATGCTTCTCTCCCTAACCGCCATGCTTCTCTCCCTAACCGCCATGCTTCTCTCCCTAACCGCCATGCTTCTCTCCCTAACCGCCATGCTTCTCTCCCTAACCGCCATGCTTCTCTCCCTAACCGCCATGCTTCTCTCCCTAACCGCCATGCTTCTCTCCCTAACCGCCATGCTTCTCTCCCTAACCGCCATGCTTCTCTCCCTAACCGCCATGCTTCTCTCCCTAACCGCCATGCTTCTCTCCCTAACCGCCATGCTTCTCTCCCTAACCGCCATGCTTCTCTCCCTAACCGCCATGCTTCTCTCCCTAACCGCCATGCTTCTCTCCCTAACCGCCATGCTACTCCCCCTAACCGCCATGCTTCTCCCCCTAACCGCCATGCTTCTCCCCCTAACCGCCATGCTTCTCCCCCTAACCGCCATGCTTCTCTCCCTAACCGCCATGCTTCTCTCCCTAACCGCCATGCTTCTCTCCCTAACCGCCATGCTTCTCTCCCTAACCGCCATGCTTCTCTCCCTAACCGCCATGCTTCTCTCCCTAACCGCCATGCTTCTCTCCCTAACCGCCATGCTTCTCTCCCTAACCGCCATGCTTCTCTCCCTAACCGCCATGCTTCTCTCCCTAACCGCCATGCTTCTCTCCCTAACCGCCATGCTTCTCTCCCTAACCGCCATGCTTCTCTCCCTAACCGCCATGCTTCTCTCCCTAACCGCCATGCTTCTCTCCCTAACCGCCATGCTTCTCTCCCTAACCGCCATGCTTCTCTCCCTAACCGCCATGCTTCTCTCCCTAACCGCCATGCTTCTCTCCCTAACCGCCATGCTTCTCTCCCTAACCGCCATGCTTCTCTCCCTAACCGCCATGCTTCTCTCCCTAACCGCCATGCTTCTCTCCCTAACCGCCATGCTTCTCTCCCTAACCGCCATGCTTCTCTCCCTAACCGCCATGCTTCTCTCCCTAACCGCCATGCTTCTCTCCCTAACCGCCATGCTTCTCTCCCTAACCGCCATGCTTCTCTCCCTAACCGCCATGCTTCTCTCCCTAACCGCCATGCTTCTCTCCCTAACCGCCATGCTTCTCTCCCTAACCGCCATGCTTCTCTCCCTAACCGCCATGCTTCTCTCCCTAACCGCCATGCTTCTCTCCCTAACCGCCATGCTTCTCTCCCTAACCGCCATGCTTCTCTCCCTAACCGCCATGCTTCTCTCCCTAACCGCCATGCTTCTCTCCCTAACCGCCATGCTTCTCTCCCTAACCGCCATGCTTCTCTCCCTAACCGCCATGCTTCTCTCCCTAACCGCCATGCTTCTCTCCCTAACCGCCATGCTTCTCTCCCTAACCGCCATGCTTCTCTCCCTAACCGCCATGCTTCTCTCCCTAACCGCCATGCTTCTCTCCCTAACCGCCATGCTTCTCTCCCTAACCGCCATGCTTCTCTCCCTAACCGCCATGCTTCTCTCCCTAACCGCCATGCTTCTCTCCCTAACCGCCATGCTTCTCTCCCTAACCGCCATGCTTCTCTCCCTGTTGCTTCCCCTTTTCAACTTTTCTTCCCGTTTTGTTCTCTTCTTGACCCTCCCTCTCCTGAAGCTCCCTCTCCCCCCTCTCTCTTCCCGTCATTCTCCTCTCCCTTCCCTTGTCTTCTCTTCATTCATTCACGCTCCTACTGCGCCAATCAGATCACGCCACGTGGCAGGTCAGGACAGCAATTGGTGGGAGGAAGCAGGGAGGGAAGCAAGGAGGAGGGGGAGCAGACAGACAGCGAAGCAGTGCGTGTGGGGGAAGATTGGGAGGGAGAGGGGACAATGGGGATGATGGGAGGGTGGAGAAAGAAGAGGGGCAGCAGCAGCAGGGGGAGCAGAGGCAGGGGAACGAGAAGGAGAAGGGGCAAGGAGAGGGGCAGGGAGGAACTACAAGGGGAACGAGGAGGAGAGGGAGAGAAAAGGGGGTCAGCATTGTCGCAGGAAAAAGGGGAAGGGAAGGGCTGATGGGGACGTTGGAAGAACAGATGACGGCGTTGCATCGGCAGCAGGCAGAGGTGCAAGCGTGGGAGGATGAGGTGATAAAGAGAATAGGGGGCAGTTGAGAAGAAGGGAGTGGGATGCTGCGAGGAGGGAGAAAGAGATTGATGCAAAGATGAAGGAGATTCAGGAACGAAAGGTGGAGGAGGGGGTAAAGCGAGTGGGAAAAGGAGGGGGGAGAGGAAGAGAGGGAATTGGCAGAATTGGGAGGGTTGGTGAGGGTGAGTTCCAGAAGAGGAGGAGGAAAGGGCTGGTTTGGGGGGAACTAGTAACGCAAATGGCTCGGAAGTGACTATAAAGATGTGACAGCAGACAAATGCAGACGAACAGCAGTGCTACTGTTGAAATTATGAAGGGTGTGACTTTAGTGAAAGCGGGGAGGGAAAAGGAAAGTCAGGAGCAGGAGCAGCCGCAGGGGGAGGAGGAGGAGGCGGAGGAGGAGGAGGAGGAGGAGGAGGGAGGAGGAGGAGGAGGAGGAGGAGGAGGAGGGGAGGATGAGGAGGAGGAGGAGGAGGAGGAGGGGGGAGGGGAGGCTGGGGAGGGGGGCTGATGTGGTGATGTGGTGGTGGTGGTGTGTTGGTGGGTGGTAGTGGTGTTGGTGGTGGTGTGGCAGGGGCGTGCGGCATGATGTGATGGAAGCGCTTCAGATGCTGAAGCTGGGTGTGAGAGCGTTGCAGGAGAACATTGAGACGGTGCTGCACACTGAAAGCAGGTGAGGGGTGAGAGGCTGGTGAGGGGGGAAGGCTGACGGCTGAGTCTAAGAGGGCTGGGCTGGGGGAGAGTATCGAGGCTGCTTTTGAGGTGCCTCAAAAGATTTACAGGCGCTCGAGATTCATTTTGTGAGTCGACTCAAAAATAGACTCATCACACGCCTCAAAAAGAGTTTAGAGGTCCTTGAGATTTCTCAAGCTGAGTCTGAGAGGGCTTGGATGAGCCTGTGTCACCGAGCTGCCCCTTCTTGTGCTTCCTTCCTCCTCCCTCCTTGTCCCCATTTCCCTATTCCTCCATCTTCCCAGCCTATACTCTCATCATGCCTTCAGCACGAGTGCATGTGCAGCGTCCCTTCACCAGTGACTCTAACCTTTTTTCTTTTGTGCTTCTTCCTCCCCAATTACCTATTCTCCATCCCCCCGTCCTCCCAGCCTCCACCCTCACGCCTTCAACGCGAGTGCAGCAATTCCTGCACCTCCCACCCGGTCTGTTGAAACTGCCACACCAGCAGCAGCAGCAGCAGCAGCAGAGGCGGGCCGGCAGCGGCGGCGGCAGCAGCAGCAGAAGCTGGGCCAGAAGGATCCCAGACAGCTGCTGCAGCCCCAAGGCTCCAGACACCCCGAAGCAGTTTGTGCGGGAATCAGTGGCAGGGCCGCCGGTGTTGGTGATAGCAGGCATGGTGTATAACGCGTGTTTGAGGGGACTACACTCGCTTCTGGGCGCTGCATGTGTGGCAGGTGAATGTGGGGGAGGGCATGACATTAAACACATTACTACAGCAGATACCAGGCACGGTGGACATCAGAGTGTTGCTTTGTTCACATGCTTTTTTCCGCGTGTAGGTTTTTGAGAATTCTCAATCACATGCTCTTTTCCGCATGTAGGTTTTTTGGAATTCTCAAAAACATGCTTCTTTTCCGCGTGTAGTAAGTCGATTTTTGAGTCGACTCAAAAATCATCAGAGTGTTGCTTTGTTCACATGCTTCTTTTCTGTTCAGATTCTGATTCTGGTTCTGTTTCTGTTTTTTGTTTTTTCTTCCTGTGTCTTTTTGTTTCTGTTTTTTCTTTCTTCTGTCTTTCTTTTTTCTTTCTTTCTTTCTTTCTTTCTTTCTGTGCGTCGTTCTGTCTCCGTTTCTGATTTCCCTATTTCCATGCGTGCAGTGGATGGAGTATCATCGCTATGCAGGAGTGACTCGATTCTACTGGTACGACGAGGCCAGGAACACCAACGAGGACCAGGGAGTGTGTGTTAGGGATGAGCAAAAAAACGAACACCTGTTCGGTTCGCCTCGAACACGTTCGAGGCGAACCGAACAGGTTAATTTGTTGGCTTAAAGTGTTCGCCGAACAGTGTTCGATGTTCGCCCGAACACGTTCGTATTCGGGCCGCTGCTGCCATTTGCCCCTAGACGAACACGAACGTGTTTTGAGGTTCGCCCGAACACGCCTTCATAGGCGAACGGCGAACACCTGTTTTTGCTTAAGGTGTTCGCCGAACCGAACAGTGTTCGGTTCGCCGAACAGGGGTGTTCGTGCATGGGCGAACGCGAACACGTTCGTGTTCGCCCCTTGCTCATCCCTAGTGTTGTGTGAGTGGGTGGTGCATTGGTCCTCTGTTGTGTCTCCCTGCGTGCAGAGGTTGGAGTACCATCGCTATGCAGGAGTGACTCGGTTCTACTGGTACGCGAGGCCAGGAGCACAGACGAGGACCAGGTGCGATTGTTTGGGGTGGGTGGTGCATTGGACTGGACCTCTTAGCCTACTCATACAATTTGAAACGAGTTCAAGACGTGGTTCTCGCCCCTTACATTGACGCCGGCCTGGTGGTATACCACCGCGTGCGCGGGCTGCACAGGGCTTGAAAACCGTTCCTGCCGTCCCTTCCATTTCCCCTCTCCACTCCCCCCTCCCCAACTGCCACAGACGTGGTACTCGCCCCGTACATTGATGCCGGCCTGGTGGTATACCACCACATGCGCGAGCTACTGAGAGCTGCTGTCTGCAAGCCTCCCTCCCCCCCCCCCCATCCCACCACCACCACCACCACAGGACGTGGTGCTGGCCCCCTATATTGACGCCGGCCTGGTGGTATACCACCGCGTGCGTGAGCTGCCAATTGTTGAGGGCAACTTCACAGCGTACCTAGAGCGAGAATGTTCCGGTGCAAGCAGGGGGCTGCTTACAACCACTGGTGAAGGTAGGGAGGGGGGAGGAAAGAAGCGAGGGTGGTTTTAAAGCGATGAGACTTGTTGGTGAATCTATAAGACATGCTGTTTCAGCTTCACAGCACACCGGAGAATGTTTCGCTGCAAGCAGGGGGCTGCTTACAACCACTGGGTGAAGGTGAGGAGAAGGGATTGGTGATACAAGGGGTGAGAAAGAGCCGTGAGTGACTGCGTAACTCACCTTGCACCACTTTCACAGCGTAAACTGAAGAGTTGTTTCGCTGCAAGCAGGGGGCTGCCAATAGCCACTGGGTGAAGGTGGGGGGGGGGGAATAGGGAGGGAGGTTGAAAAAGGGGTGAGCTGCTGTTGAGAGAAATTAGCTTCACTGTCTACGTGGAGAGGATGTGTCGGTGCAAGCAGGGGCCAGCTTACAACCAGTGGGTTCAGGTGGGGAGGGGGAGGATGAGTGCATTTCAGGGGGCACCTGAGCGACTTGCTTCTCCCCCTGTCCCTTTTCAATCCCTCTATCTTTTTTGCGCCCATCCTCCAGCACTATGCATCGGAGGGCATGGGCTTTCCACACCGATATCGACAAATATTTCTCTCTCCACCTCCCTTCTCCCTCCCCTCTCCCGTTCCTATCCGTCTTCCCTTCCCCCTCCTTTCCCCGTTCCTCTTCTCTCCCTTTCAGGTCCTGATTCAGAACGTCTTTTTCCTTGGCGACCCAATCGGTCCCGACACCGACACTCTACTAGAGCGCTACACCCTCCGCATGCCCAACTCTTCCCAGCGGCACCGCACTAAACCCATTGCATGGCTGCCTCTGGCAGTCAATCTCACAGACGACTGCATTAACCCCCATGAGTGGCCTATGCTGGAGAATGGGCCGCCGCGATTGGTCAATACGGAGATTTTGAGGCTGAATCACTATTGGGGGGACCGCGCCGGGGTGATTTCGGACAATACCCCGGTTTACACGATGGATGTTACGATGATGGACGAGTATGGAGACGGGCTGTGAAGGATGAGTCAGCAAAGGTGAGGGATGAGCTGGCAAACGGGAGGGGTGAGCTGGCAAACGGGAGGGGTGAGCTGGCAAACGGGAGGGGTGAGCTGGCAAAAGAGCAGAATGAGCTGAACATTGCCAAGCCAATGCCTTTATTGTGCATTGTGAAGATTTTCTTTATTAAAGAACCTTTCCCTACAATTTGCTAAACATTTTGGGTTCCCTACAATTCTTGTCTTGTTACCCGCTAAAGCACCTTTCCTTTTCCCCTCCCTACCCCTCGCCAGCCCATGGGAGTGTGGCTGCGGCAGCATATGCAGGGTGCACGTGCAGTCATATCGACACAGGCAGTTCACAAGGAGAGGGGGCGTTCTCTTGCTCTTTCGTTTCCTGCCTTTTTAACCCCTTACGTCCCCACCACCCCTCAACTTCACCATCCGCTTCCCCTCCCTCTAACCCTGCTGTGCTTCCACCCCATGGGAGTGTGGCTGTGGCAGCGCATGCAGGGGCATGGGCGGGCATATCAGCACCGGCATTTCACGAGGAGAGGGAGTGATTTCACGCTCTCACCTGCCCTGCCTTCTTACCACTTGCTTGCCTTCCCCAACCCTCCCCCCACTCGCCCCCTACCCCCGGCAGCCCATGGGAGTGTGGCTGCGGCAGCGCATGCAGGAGGTGGCATGCATGCTTTTGTGCTCTTACAATCCTTGCTTTCTGACCCACTTGCTTCCCTTCCCCAACACCCGCTCTCTCCCCTACCCTTTCTCTCCTCGCCAGCCCATGGGAGTGTGGTTGCAGCAGCGCATGCAGGTGGCATGGGCGGTCATATCAGCACAGGCGGTTCACAAGGAGAGGGAGCGGCTCCGGAAACGTGTGGCTGAGGTGAAGACACGTGTCAGGCAGCTAGTGGCTCTCGTGCCTCGGCTGCTCAAGCAGGGAGGGGGAGAGGGAGTGAGGAGAGGAGGGGGAGGAGAAAAGGGAGGAAAGGAAGGGGAGGAGAGAGGAAGCAGGGGGGTGGAGGGTGGGATTAGCATGGAGGTGAGTGGACTGACAGGGGATGAGGCGTTGGGTGAGGGTGAGGATGAGGGTGATGGTGATGGTGATGGTGAGGGTGACATGATGCTGGGAGGGAATCATGATGGGTGAGTTTTTCCTGGCGGATATTCTCAATGCCACTAACGCTACAGCTGCTGCAAATGCTACAGCTGGTGTGAATGTTACTGTTGGTGAAAATGTTACTGCCGGTGTGAATGTTTCGGCAGCTGCTGATGCCACCAAGGGTGCAGCTGATGCCACCAGAATTGTGAACAGCAGAGAAGCAAGAAAGGCCGGTTCTCAGGCTGCAGTGCTTGTGGCACCCCCTGCACCGGTTGGTGCTGCTGATTCTACCAGAGGTGCTGCTGATTCTACCAGAGGCGCTGCTGATTCTACCAGAGGCGCTGCTGATTCCACCAGAGGCGCTGCTGATTCCACCAGAGGCGCTGCTGATTCTACCAGAGGCGCTGCTGATTCTACCAGAGGCGCTGCTGATTCTACCAGAGGTGCTGCTGATTCCGCCAGGGGCGCAATCACCAGAGAAGCTAGAAAAGCCGTTTCTCTGCCTACAGTGGCTGTGGCACCCCCTGCACATGATGCTGCTGACGTTGGGACTCGCAAAACGCCGTCTTCGCTGGTGTCAGGTGCAAGTCGAGGTGATGAGAAGAGTGATGTGAGGGTTGGAGTTTCAGCAGCTGTAACAGCTGTGGTTGAGAGTAGGAATGGGTATGAGAAGGGAAGATGAGTGCTATGGGGATGTCAGCTGGTGGTGCTGCTACTGGATTAGGTGGTGGTGGTGAGGGTAGAGGAATAGTGACTAATGAGCGGCGGATGGTGCAAGAAAAATGAGATTGGGTCAACAACACGAGCTATTGCCTGAAGAACGGACATGATCGTTTTTTCAAGGTTGATGATGGTACTTTGAACTGAACTCATTTTTGATGTGAAGACATGCTTCCATGTAGTGCCACCAAGTAATGTAGCCGTACCATGTTTATATTGAAGTAGTGAACACTATTTTCCAGACTGTTTGTCAAACTGTGAATACTTGTATGCTTGATAGCAGTAAGATAGCAGGAAGATAATGTACAGAGCAAGAAAATGTGAGAGAACAAATGTGGAAATTATGGAACCTTGGTAGTGCGCTTCGGTTTTTCCCCTAGCCACCAAAATGTGCGCCTCTAAGATAATGTTTGGGCTAAAATCCCTTTTCCTTGATCTGAACCTGGTTCTCATTCCTTCGAGTCTCGACACACGTTGACCCTCGCGAATAAGTTACTGTAAGATCTGTAAGATGGAACGGACAGCAAAGCAAACCTCCGTAAGTGTCGTTCAGTTTGAAACTTCAGCGCGTCTATTTTTGATAGGGCAGAAGCGCGAGAAACTACCACCAGCTGATTCGGAGACTTTATGTGGTGTTTTAACACCCGACCCGAGTTGAGCCCTGAATTGTGTTGAAAAGTTGGAGGAATACCCGAACTTGTTTGAGATATCGCAAAAAAACTCCCCAACATCATTCCCCCTCTACCCCAGAGAAATCTGGATGGAACCCCCCAAAATGAGAAGCAACAGGGGGGGCCGCTAACCACGGAGTCAGCAATTTTCTTCCCACCGCATAAACTTCGAATCTCCGCTATACGCGCGGCATCCAGCAGCAAGCATGCTCCAGTCACTACCGTGTGCATAAATCTCAGTTCCTAGAGATTTTTTTCAGTTTGAGGAACTATTACAATTCTTCACCACACTACAATCACGACATTCTTCTTTGCAGTCCTACTCTCATTGCTTCGCCATGGGAGCTCTTCGTTCTATCTTCTCGCTCGCCCTTCTTCTCGCGTCTCTGAACCTCCTCGCTGCTGCGACATCGCAAGAGGAGCGCGGTGGTTATGCGGAAGGGCCGCGTCGGGCTCTTATGCGCGGCACTACCGGTACAACAATAATCACTACTAACCATGCGGCAGCGGCAGACGTGGTACTGCAAGATCCAGCCGCCAGTGACGTCATCATCGAGAGTCGCGTTGACGCGGAGGAAGGCACACGGCGGCGAGCGGCGCTGCAGGACTCGTTCGCATTCAAACCTGCAGGCAGTGAACTCGCCTCGCAAGTCCGCGATAAATCTCGAGCGCCCGCGAATGGTGGGAGAAAGTCACCAAGCCGCCACCCGTGAACAAGATTGGCTTCCCAACTCGCCCTCCGGTCACCGAGAAGGATCTCAGGAAAAAATACGGGTGGCCTTGGTAAGTCGGATGCTCTGGCCAACTCGCGCTCGCTGAGGAGTGTAGAAAATTCTTGAGGCACCTCAAAAATCAACTGGCGCTCGCTGAGGGGTGCAGAAAAATCTCTGGGGCTGGGGGGAGGAAATGTGTGTGGGAATGTGTGTGTGAATGTGTTGGGAATGCGTGTGCAATGGGCGTGGGAATGTGTGCGGAAATCCGTGGGGAAGATGGGGAATGTGTTTTGGAATGGGTGTGGGGTTCAAGGGAGATATGCAGGGGTGCTGACTGGTGGTGAACGGCAGGAAGGGCTTTATTGCAATGAGCTGTGCCGTCATATAGTGCTTGCTCATGTGGCTGCTCTGGAAGTCGCTTTCCCTAGTTGGCCTTCTGTTCTGTGTGCACTGCTTATTTTGTTTCTGTGGATTACCGTATTCAGAGTTCATCTTGGATGTTGAGTTGAACATGGTTCATTGTGAAGGCTCTGCATCGTTTTAAGCCGGCGCCTAGAATGGCAAGGGTTCATAGATACTGAACTTGAAAAGGGGTTGCACGAAGGTTGACGAGAGAAAAATTCGCCGGAGGGAGGTGGCGAAGGCGGAATGCTCCACAGTGTCTCGCAACTTCAACTTCAACTTCAAGAAACTTGAACAAACCCAACCACCCTCACGCTGCTCACAACCTAGGTTTCTGCCGAAGTCTGCAAATGCACTCTTCGAGCAGGCTGAAAACAGCGTGCGCAAGTACCAGATAGTTCGAACGTAAGTGTTAGGAAACTGAGTATCCAGACTAAAATTGCTACGTAGAACATGTGAGAACGTTTACTTTTTGGCCGGAATCGAGAGGAAGCAGAGGACCGAGGGAGGGAATGGAAAGCGAATGCCAATCAGAATCCCCCTCCCAGAAACTGTTTACCGTGGTTGCGAGGGTAAGAAAGCCCCAACCGGGTTACCCTGTTTTGGCGATTTCAGCTTCAAGAATCTTGAACTTGAACCTTTGCCATTCTAGACTCGGGCTTTAACAATGTCATACCCGTAATCCCCGGATATAACACCCTAGGGTGTTATATAAATCCCCCTGTAAAAAGAGGGGGGGGTCTTAACAAAGGAAAAAAAGTTATACTACCCGGGTGTTTCATATGACATATATTTCTTCTTAGTGTTTTGAACACAGCTGTTCATACTGAACTTGGGGGTGTGCTTTTGGTGAGCAACAAGGCAGCGGATCGTTGTTCGATCGAATAGCTGCCAGGTGGCTCATACACTGTATCTAGTACGGCCTGGCAATTTGAAATCAGGCATCGTGCCTCCTTCGAAGCCTCGCGTTGAGGCCTGGTGGTGTTGCGAATCCAGCCCTATGCCCCGCACGTCCCTTTCGTCTTGATCGAGGCCATGCTTCTGGTCCTGCGCATTGAAAAACCCTTGAAATGTTCACTGGAAACCCCCTACAGGGGAGGGGGAGGGTCTTATAATGTTCACCCCTAAAGGGGGGTATAACAAAAATCTTGCTAAATAAACACTCCCCGCCGTATTAGATACCCGGGGGTGTTTATTTTGGGGGGGTCTTATATCCGGGGGATTACGGGTAATAGCAATGAAAGCGATGCATAAAGAGACTCATCACTCTGTGCCAACTCATGACTTCGGTTCAGCAACACAACATTGAGGGCAGTTTGGCCGGATGGCCCCCCACCCACCATGCATTGTTCGGTACCAATCATGTGCTTCTGCCAATGAAATCCATCCAAAGCAGAGATAATATTGCATCCAACAAGCATAGCACAAATGTTCCTAGGTACATTGTGGCAGTGGTTACGACTAGGCTGTGTACCCTCCTCCTGGCCCACTGGTTGGTCTCTCAAAACCTTGAAAATCGCACATAGACGTGAAGGCTTGAAAATCTGAGAAGAGAAACAAAGAGATGAACGTGTGTTTCGTGTGTTAAAATAGGGTATTGACGTGCCGCTTTCAAGTACATGTACAAACGTACCTGATGGTCCTTGTCCTCTGGCATACCTTGGATACAATGTCTAACAAAAAGCCTGCCGTCCAATCCTTGGACTGTACACTAAACCTGGAATCAAATTCTTGGACTGCAAAATGGATCTTGCTGTCCAATATTAGGAATAACAACAAAGATTCGGAATGATACTGTACCTGCCGTCCAATCGTTGGACCGATACTGGACCTGCCGTCCTGCAGGACCTTGCTCCAATCCTGTTGTTACTGTTAGCCCCCTGAGACCCTGACAATCCCACCCCTCTCAACGCACCTGTGCTTTGAACATGAAGTTGGACGGGACGTTGATGATGATGTATGTAGTTGTCCTTGCCCTCGTTGTACTTCTCCAGTTCCTGTGGCAGCAAGGTTGGGGTTACGGGCAAGGCAGAGAAGAAGTGTTGGCAGGAGGGTTGACAGGCTCGCTGGTAAGGCACGTTGATGATGATGTAGTTTTCCTTGTCCTCGTTGTACTTCTCCAGTTCCTGTGATTGTTGGGTGGGGTGGGGGGGGGCACGTGGAAGGTCGCATGGCAACAATGATGTAGTTCTCATCACCCTCGTTATACTTCTCCAGTTCCTGTGGCAGAAAGGTTTGGGGGCATGAGGAAGGCAGGGAGGAAAATGTTGGTTGGTTGGCACGAGGATTGAGAGGCTTGCTGGCATGGCACGGCACGGCACGGCACGGCACGGCACGGCACGGCACGGCACGGCACGGCAAGGCGCGGCACAGCACGGCACGGCAAGGCACGGCAAGTCAAGGCACGTTGATGATGACGGATTTCACTTGCCGTCCACCATCGTTGGTGACGGCACGTTGTACTACTCCAATTCCTGTGACTTGAGGGTCTCAACGGGAATAACAACAAAGATTCGGAAAATCGTGCTTTGAACATGAAGTTGGGCGTTAGCCCCCTGACGTTGATGATGATGTATGTGATGTAGTTGTCCTTGCCCTCGTTGTACTTCTCCAGTTCCTGTGGCAGCAAGGTTGGGGTTACGGGCAAGGCAGAGAAGAAGTGTTGGCAGGAGGGTTGACAGGCTCGCTGGTAAGGCACGTTGATGATGATGTAGTTTTCCTTGTCCTCGTTGTACTTCTCCAGTTCCTGTGATTGTTGGGTGGGGTGGGGGCACGTGGAAGGTCGCATGGCAACAATGATGTAGTTCTCATCACCCTCGTTATACTTCTCCAGTTCCTGTGGCAGAAAGGTTGGGGGATGAGGAAGGCAGGGAGGAAATGTTGGTTGGTTGGCACGAGGATTGAGAGGCTTGCTGGCATGGCACGGCACGGCACGGCACGGCACGGCACGGCACGGCACGGCACGGCACGGCAAGGCGCGGCACAGCACGGCACGGCAAGGCACGGCAAGTCAAGGCACGTTGATGATGACGGATTTCACTTGCCGTCCACCATCGTTGGTGACGGCACGTTGTACTACTCCAATTCCTGTGACCTTGAGGTTAACGGAAAGGAAAACCACGCGTCTCAAGTAGGTGCTTTGTTCAGGTTGAAGCCAATGGCATGGCGGCACGTTGATGATGATGTACTTTTCCTCGTCCTTCTTTGTGGTACTTCCCCGAAACCTGTGTCAGTAAGGTTGGGGGAAATGGTAAGGTAGGGACCCCTGTTGGGCATGCAGGCAGGAAGCCCATTCAGCCATGCAGCCATGCAGCCATGCAGCCATGCAGCCATGCAGCCATGCAGCCATGCAGCCATGCAGCCATGCACCTATGCAGCCATGCACCCATGCAGCCATGCAGCCATGCAGCCATGCAGCCATGCAGCCATGCAGCCATGCAGCCATGCAGCCATGCACGCATGCAGCCATTCACCCATGCAGCCATTCACCCATGCACCCATGCACCCATGCAGCCATTCACCCATGCAGCACTGGGCCTGTTACTTTCAAAAAATGAAATTTAGAGGGCCTCACATCACACAGCATGCCAAAGTGCATGGTGTGGTCCCATGGCGGAAACAAACTACCTGTGTTGACCTCAGTTGAACTGTTTTGACCTCTGCTGACATCTGCTCAACTCCTTCGACCTGACCTTTCTACCTCTGTTGACCTCTGTTGACCTCTGTTGACCTCTGCTCTCGACTGTGCCATTAAGGTTCTCACCTGCGTTGACCTGCGTTCTCATACACATACCTGTGGCATGCCGAAGCGCGTGGTGGGCTCCATGGCACGGGCGTGACAGCTCACCTGGAGTCCATTGACCTGCGTTGACCTGCACTGACATGCGCTGATAAGAGAGCGTTGACCTGCGTTGACCTGCGTTCTCGTACACATACCTGTGGCATGCCGAAGCGCGTGGTGGGGCTCCATGGCACGGGCGTGAAGAGCTCGCCAGTGAACTCCGTCCCCGTGATGCCAGCTGGCACGCCAGGCTGGCTCGCCACCTGGACGAACGGGATTGGCGGGAGGAGGTACGTCCGGGAATCCCTGGAAAAGTAAGCATAGAGTGGCATGCTTGAGGCAGCAAGATTACGGTAATTTCTTTCGGCCATTCGCTCCTCAGAAGATGCAAAAAGTAGGAGCAGAGGACTGATCGGTCACTTGTTTTAAGATTGCCACAGGCAGGAGCAGAGGACTGATCGGCATGAAAGGCGTTTCTTCTTGGAAATCCCATCGTCCGCCGAGTGCTCTCTCTCTCAGTGTTTCCTTGCTCCTTGTGCAGCGAGACACCCAGTGTTCTCAGTCAGCAGCATCGACCAGCCGATAGAGCGAGCGCCCTCGTTGCATCAATGGTGCAATGGAGTGGCTGTTGCAACTCTCACGACCTCCGCCCACCTGCTACAGCATACTCGGCGGCAACGCACCTGCTGGAGGAAAACGTCGGACGAGAGCAGATAGACGAGCACCTCCTTGGCCCCTGTTGACATGCTACACTACAGCCCACACAACCCAGCCCATGCTCCCCACACTTCTCACAGTTCCCACACAACCCACACAGGGAGGCGGCAACGCACCTGCTGCAGGAAGACGTCGGATGAGAGCAGATAGACGAGCACCTCCTCGGCCCCTGTTGACATGCTACAGCCCGCACGACCCAGCCCATGCTCCCCACACTTCCCACCGTTCCCACACAACCCACACAGGGAGGCGACAACGCACCTGCTGCAGGAAAACGTCGGACGAGAGCAGATAGACAAGCACCTCCTTGGCCTGCCGGCGGAACGACACGTCACGCGCATGCACGGGGGATGGGTGCACGGGGGATGGGCGCACGGGGATGGGGGCACGGGGATGGGGGACTGATATGAATGGGAGCATACGATGGGAGCATACGAATGGGAACATGGCGTGTTACGGGGATAGACACGCTCAACAGCATGGGGTTCTGGACAGATGGTACCACCACTATGGACATAGATACGCGGTAACACGGGGATTCGTACGTAGCAGCGGCATGAAAAGTCCGTACGTAGACACTTTTGATTCGCGCAAGTGATCAGAACGGGATCGGACTACAGCAGCACTGAAAGACGGAATGCACGAGGGAATGAACAGCGTGTTTTGGTTTGATTTCGAAGTGCACGAGAAGCGCAGGAGGTCGGAGGGAGATGTGATTTTTGAGTCGGCTGAGTCTTCTCGAAGTGTGATGGGAAGGATTCAGGCGCGGATTGGTCAACATGTGAGACTCTGGTTACTGATGGGCTAGGTTACGACTCGGTGCTATGACTTGGTGCGACGTAGTTGGGCTCACCTGAGGGTCCAGCTCAAAGCTCGTGTCGAAGCTCTCAACGGCGCGGATGCCCTGTACGACGTGTGAGCATCGCTGGATTCTGCTGCTAACGGTCGATCGTGCGAAGGACGACGAAGTTTGGTTGACGGAAGACGTCAGCGGTCTAGCGGAGGCGACGATAGGCGAGGCGAGGGGGCGTCGAGACGGGAAGAGGAGGAGGATGAGAATGTTGATGAAGGAGACGCTAGCAGCGACTCGCCGAGAAGCGAGGACGCGAGAAGCGACTGGGCCATGGTCAAGAGCGAGACAAAAGAAAGGCTTTAGTTCTGCAAGAGTATGTACTGCAAAAAATAATATTCACACTTGACGTGGTCACGCGTGCAGCTCCAGTGTCTGGTTGATAGCTCTAATAGTGAAGAACTGCACGAAGAATCGGCTGGAGTGAATTCTTGTGTTTGTCAGTGGTCAGGCCGTGGGATAGAAATGGGTGGAAAGGTCAGGGTCAGGCGTATTCAGATCGTTGGACTTGTGGAGTGCTTCTCTGGTACTACGTATGAATTGTCAAGATCGGCAGAACTCGTACTGATATATTTTCGACATTTATCTCGACTGCTCGCTGAAATTGTGAGACGGGAATGACACAAAAAACCACCTCTTAGTCAATTTCGTGTTTGGTACACGCAAGAAATTCGGCAGCCATGCCCCGCGACCATGTTCTTTCTGACATTTTGAACGCGGATGAGCCCCTCGAGGGAAGTGAAGTGCATTCACCATCAGCCACTGAGATCACCGCAATCCTCTTCGGCAAGCTCTGCGAGGAAATGTCAAGGAGTCCGGACACACGTGGCAATTCTGTGGTGTGGAAACACGCATTGCGCAAAAGATTATCACAGACCCGATAAGGGGCAATATAAATAATAACATACGTAGAAAAAGCATATACAAATCGTTGTGCTATATTGTTTAGCACTTAACATCTACTTAAGAATACTAAATAAATAGGAAGGCCAAGGTAAGGACTGCAGTGCTAAGTACCGCTTGCACATTCGCATTGAAAACTGGAAGGAGGGATGGGAGGGAGGAGAGGGCAGAGAAAGAGAAGCAAACATCAGCAATTGTGTCATCTGTAGTATGAAAATATGAGACGCTCGAGAACCATGAATTAAAAAGCAGAACAGACATGCAAGCATCTTATCCCTCTCCCTCGTCCTTTCCCCCTCTCCCATTCCTGCCAGCATACCTCTTCCCCTGCATTTGCAGGCCTGGTGGGCGGAACCAACAAGTGGTCAGCGCCTTGCACTGCCAGCCTGTCAGCGCTCTCCCACACCCTTTTCACCACCGTATGTACCTCTCCTCCCAGAATTCGCAGGCCCAGTGGGTGGAACCAGGACGAGGTCAGCGCCTTGACCGAATAATCTGCCATCCTGCTCTCATCCTCCCTCTCTCTCCCGTCCTCCCTCTCTTTAGTCCATTTCCGTACCTCTTCCCACAGCATTGGCAGGCCCAGTGGGTGGCAGCAGCACGTGGTCAGCGCCTTGCACGGACAGCTTCCCATCAGCAACGACATCCTTGAGGGCGGGCAGCACAGTGGCGGCTGCAGTGACAGAGTAGGCCGTGTAGGGGCTGTCGCTGGCAGGCGTGTTGGCGTTGGCTGGCATGCGGAACACCAGCGACTTGTCCGACTCTATGTGGATCTGAATGGTCTGATTCGTGTTTACTGAGTATATGTGCCCGTGCTGTGGTGCCTGTGGGTGGGGAGGGATGGAGGGGAGGGTGGGGGAGATTTGGATTGACTTGTCCAACTCTATGTGGATCTGAATGGTCTGATTCGTGCCCACTGCGTATATGTGCCCGTGCTGGGGCGCCTGTGGGGATAAGGGGGGCAGGGGAGTGGGGAGGGAAGGATTTGAAGCGACTTGTCCGACTCTATGTGGATCTGAATGGTCTGGTTTGTTCCAACTGAGTATACATGCCCGTGCTGGGGGGCTGTGGGAGGTAGGCAGAGGTGGGGAGGGAGGTAATGGGGAAGAGGACATGGCCTAGAGCTGGCTCTCCAGGTTTTTTAAGGCGCCTCAAAAGACATGGCCTGGAGCTGGCTCTCCAGGTTTTTTAAGGCGCCTCAAAAGACATGGCCTGGAGCTGGCTCTCCAGGTTTTTTAAGGCGCCTCAAAAGACATGGCCTGGAGCTGGCTCTCCAGGTTTTTTAAGGCGCCTCAAAAGACATGGCCTGGAGCTGGCTCTCCAGGTTTTTTAAGGCGCCTCAAAAGACATGGCCTGGAGCTGGCTCTCCAGGTCTTTTAAGGCGCCTCAAAAGACATGGCCTGGAGCTGGCTCTCCAGGTCTTTTAAGGCGCCTCAAAAGACATGGCCTGGAGCTGGCTCTCCAGGTGGTATGCGCTGGTGAGGTGCAGCAGCAGAGAGTGCATCCGTGTAGCCCACTCCACCTGAGCTGAGATCCCAAGGTCCCTCCATTCAACACGGTCGCTTGTGTTGGCAGAGGCCATGGCTTCTAGCTGGCTCTACAGGTAGTATGCGCCAGCGAGGTGCAGCAGCAGCAGCAGCAGCAGCACGCCTCTCAGAGGGGCACACTTGAACCTCACCTGAACTGAATCCCCTTTTCGTTCAACTCACCGGTTTGCTAGCATTGGGAGAGGCCATTTCTTCCAGCTCCTTCTCCAGGTAATAGGCGCCAGTGACGTGCAGCAGCAGCACGGAGTGCATCAGTGTATCACACTCGATAACCACCTCACCTCACCTCACCTCACCTCACCTCACCTCACCTCACCTCACCTCACCTCACCTCACCTCACCTCACCTCACCTCACCTCACCTCACCTCACCTCACCTCACCTCACCTCACCTCACCTCACCTCACCTCACCTCACCTCACCTCACCTCACCTCACCTCACCTCACCTCACCTCACCTCACCTCACCTCACCTCACCTCACCTCACCTCACCTCACCTCACCTCACCTCACCTCACCTCACCTCACCTGACCTGACCTGACCTGACCTGACCTGACCTGACCTGACCTGACCTGACCTGACCTGACCTGAGCTGAGCTGACCTGAGCTGACCTGAGCTGACCTGAGCTGAGCTGAGCTGACCTGAGCTGACCTGAGCTGACCTGAGCTGACCTGACCTGACCTGACCTGACCTGACCTGACCTGACCTGACCTGACCTGACCTGACCTGACCTGACCTGACCTGACCTGACCTGACCTGACCTGACCTGACCTGACCTGACCTGACCTGACCTGACCTGACCTGACCTGACCTGACCTGACCTGACCTGACCTGACCTGACCTGACCTGACCTGACCTGACCTGACCTGACCTGACCTGACCTGACCTGACCTGACCTGACCTGACCTGACCTGACCTGACCTGACCTGAGCTGAGCTGACCTGAGCTGACCTGACCTGAGCTGACCTGACCTGACCTGACCTGACCTGACCTGACCTGACCTGACCTGACCTGACCTGACCTGACCTGACCTGACCTGACCTGACCTGACCTGACCTGACCTGACCTGACCTGACCTGACCTGACCTGACCTGACCTGACCTGACCTGACCTGACCTGACCTGAGCTGAGCTGAGCTGAGCTGAGCCACTCCAAGTTCCCTCCATTCAACTCACTGGGTTGCTTGCATTGGGAGAGGCCATTTCCTCTAGCTGGCTTTCAAGATACTAGGCGCCAGTGACGTCCCTCAGAGCGGCCCTCCCCTCGGGCGACAGGGCGTCCAGGCTCAGAGGAGAGGCGCTGAGAGGTTGCTAAAGGAGCAAGCGATACTCACCGGGTTGCTATCATTGGGAATTGCCATTTCTTCCAACTGGCTCTCAAGGTAGTACGCGTTGGTGACGTGCAGCAGCAGCACGCCCCTCAGAGCAGCCTTCCCCTCGGGCGACAGGGCGGCCAGGCTCAGAGGCGCTGAGAGGTTGCTGAAGGTGCGGGTGATGTTGGGGGGACTGGTGGAGGAAGGAGTGGTGATGCTGGTGGCTGCTGCTACGAGGGCCGCTGGGGTCACGCTTGGGTAGCCCACAAAGACATCTGGAACACAGCGAGGGAGGACAGGGGAGGTGGGGGGTTTCGTATTAGCAGCAAAAAAGCCCCCCTTTCGGGCGACAGGGCGTCCAGGTTCAGAGGCGCTGAGAGGTTGCTGAAGGTGCAGGTGAGATTGGGGGGGCTGGTGGGGAGAGTGGTGGTGGGGAGAGTGGTGGTGGGGGGAAGGAGTGGTGATGCTGGTGGCTGCTGCTACGAGAGCGGCTGGGGTGACGCTTGGATAGCCCACAAAGGCATCTGAAAGGGAGGGGGAGTGGAGGGGAAGGGTTGGGTGGTGGTGATGATGTGAGCGATAGTAGTCGTGGCATGCGTAAAGCCGGCTCCCCCTTAGGACAGCATGCGCAAAGCCGGCTCCCCCTTAGGACGGCAAGGCGTCCAGGTTCAAAGGTGTGGAAAGGGGAGGGGTTGAGGGTCGGTTACCTGGCCACGTCCCCGCGGGTTGCTTCGCGTTGGCTCCGTCTAACACGGCGAACATCTGACAGTGCTGGCGGTGGGTTGCTTCTCGTTGGCTCTACTCATACCTGGCCACGTCCCCGCAGGTTGCATCGCGTTGGCGCGCTCTAGCACGACGAACAACTGCTGCCGCGCGTAGTTAGTCGGCGAACCGGCTGCTGCCCGTTGAGGGGGAGGACGGGGGAGAGGAGGTTGTGGAAAAGGGGGGAGGGTGGTGAGGGGGGGGGGGGGGGGGGGAGGGGGGGAAAAGGGGAGAGGGGGGGAAGAGGGGGGGAGGGGGGGGGGGAGGGCGCGGGGATACCTGGCCACGTCCCCGCGGGTTGCTTCGCGTTGGCGCGCTCTAGCACGTCGAACAACTGCTGCCACGCGTAGTTAGTCGGCGCCACCAGCAGCGCGCCGAGCCGCGAGTTCCGCGCGTTAATCACCTCCTGGTCGGCCCCCGTGGCGCGCAGCAGGCCCGCCGTCCACGCCAGCGACGCCGCTGACGCGTTCGCGCCACCGCCGAGTCCGGCGGAGGCACGAATCAACGCGTTATAGAGTGCCTCGGTAGAGTCTACGGCGACGGCGGGCCCAGGCTTCGCAGGCGTTACAACCGGCGAGGAAGATTGAGCGGCGGAGACGGCGAGAGGAGGCGATTCGAAAAGAAAAAGCGACGCGAGGAGGAACGGGAGAATTACGGAAAATAATCTGGAACCTACGGCGGGTCGGCGAGCAGTGGTGCTCGCAGAATTTTTTTTTCTACTTGTATTTGTAGTAGTAAGACGTGCATGGGTCGAGCTGGAGTGTACGAATAGCATTAATAGCGGGTCATCTATTAGCGCGATTTTTTTCGCTGGCATTGCGGTACGGGCGGATTCGGTGGTGCCACGGGCAACATTGATGTGAACGGGAGCCATGGTCACGACGAGCGGATGGGACTTTTGAGTCGACTCAAAAGTCACCTTGTGAACGGGAGCCATGGTCATGACGAGCGGATGGGGTTGTTCAGTAGGATTTAGTATCGTGCGGCGAGCGGGTTTTTGAGGCGACTCAAACGATACGACGAGCGGCGACGGGTACTACTATTCCGCGGTGGGTCGGCTCGGTTGGAGTGTCACGCGGCGAGTGCGTGGGGATAATGTGATAACGAGTAAGAAGTTACACGAGTTCTACCGGAGGCGCGGAGTAGCGGCGATATTTGAGGAGCCTACTACGACAGGCGGCGGGGTCGGATTTTGAACGCCTTTCAACGTGAGGTTGCGACGCGGGACCACGCGCTCTGAAGATATGTCGTTCGAAACGGTTACTGCGCTGAAAGGTCTAGTTTCGCTGGAGTCGCTTCCTCAATGTAAGTCGAGGATATGTGCACAGAACCGCCATACAAACTAAAAATAATGTATACGTGCTTGGAACGCACAGCTTTACTGCCTCAGGCAAACCACTTCGTCCTAAACTGAACTGAAACCGCTCATCTCACTCGGTCTCTAGTCATTCCCTACGCTCCAAAACCATGGCTGAGCGGGGAATGAAGGTGGTTGTGAGACCACAGGCGCGTTCAACTTCCAAACTACGCTTTACAGAAGAGTTCTGCACCGCACCAGCCAAACCCAGAGGAAACAATACCTACGGGCACGTGGTCCACGTCCAACGGTCGGACAAGCAGCATTCTCCACGTGGATATCTTCTTTCTGGTCGTCACCGTCCGTATACTAGTTAGGCAACATAATGCCCAGGGATTGGCTATGTTAAAATGTGGTCGCTAAGATCGGGCCGTCCATCTACGCAAACTTTTCACAGCCAAGCCTCCCTAGGGATGGACGAAATTGCAGCCAGGGACGTCGGGGGGATTCGGTACGGACTGCAATTCCGGCTGTGGGTCGGTTCCATCCACAACCACGCGATCCATCCCACGTCGACAGGTAGCGGTGCCCGGGCTGTGCGGCTTGCCCAATTGACTGGGAAGTCAAATCAAGAAAAATATCGATACTGGAGTCTCGGTTCCGTCTAGAGCTTCAGTTTGATTCATACAAAGACGGTAAAGACCTCGTTCTGTATGAGCTAGACAGCCGCGCCGCCCTTCTTTTCTTTTGCAACCATGACACACCTTGCTTGCTGTAGGGGAAGTGCGGGGAGCGAGGGGGAGGGGGGAGAGAGGGGGGGGGGGGGGGGGGGTGAGGAGGTGGGGGGGAGGAGAGAGGGTGGTTGGGGAGAGAGACAAGAGGGGATTAGTACCGGTAGTGACTTCGTGCTCGGCTCTGCTTTCTGGGTTTTGGGGAGATATAAAGCTGCAGATGTGTGAATCCAAGCAGGGGCCATGGACCTGGTAGGCTGATAACAATAGATGAAAGGGCATTCCACACCTAATCACATCACAACCCTATGTAATCAGCCAGTCGAAGCAAATCTGTCAAAGCTCCTGGCATCAATTTCCGAGCAAACAAGAAGCAAGGAACATCCCCATCAGCTACTCTACAGCTAGGAGGCCCTCTCATCCTCTCTATAAGCTTCTCCGTCACCTGACCCGCACCAAACTGCGCAGGATGCGCCGCACCAGGCTTCGACCAATCCGTCCAAGTAACTGTCCTATTCGCTACATTTCCCGGCATGAGCACTTTCAGCATCGACGGCATGTAGTGCTCGTCCGCGTAACACGGCGGCCTGCAGAACCGCTTGAAAAGAGGATAGAAAATATCGTCTGCGACAATAACCCTAGCCGCTTCCCTATCCATGGCAAACCACTGCCCTCCCTTCCTCCAATCTTCCAACCGAACCAGAGGCAGAAACTCCCGCCTCCACCTCCCCCTTCCGTTTGCCCCTGGCTCGTTCTTCAAACGAACGTATGCTTCGGGAGAGGCCATGAGGTACTCATAAACGAATGTGAAGTTAAAGAGGGGAGCGCAGGACTCTGAAACGAGGATGAACCGTGCGTTGCCTGGGTCCAGGAGGGCGTTGGCTAGCAGACGTCTCTCTGCATCCACCATGCTGATCTCACCCCAGTGCACGTCCTGGGGGGTGAGAAAGGAGGGGATGAGAAAGATGAGGAATCAGAGCGCAGGACTCGGAAACGAGGATAAACCGTGCGTTGCCAGCTAGCAGGCGGCGCTCTGCGTCCACCATGCTGATCTCACCCCAGTGCACGTCCTGGGGTGAGAGGGAGAGGTGGCATGGGGGACATGGGCGTTAAAGGCAGGCAGGAACGAGGGAACGATGGAGGGTGAATTGAAAGTGATGTAAAACTACCAGCGTTGGCCAGCAGGCGATGTTCCGCGTCCACCACGCTGATCTCGCCCCAGTGCACGTCCTGGGGGTGAGTGAGAAGGGTGGGAGGTGGTTGGCAGGAGTGTAATGGGAAGCAGTGCCGACTTGAAACGAGTAACAACTGGCAATCTCCTCTTGGCGTCATCTGTGCTGCTCTCGCCCCAGTGCAGGGCCTGGGGTGGGAGAGGGAGGGGGGATGGCTTTTAGTTTTGAGGCGCCTCAAAACTAGGGAGGAGGGATGGCTTTTGAGGCGCCTCAAAAGACTTCTGTGCTGCTCTCGCCCTAGTGCAGGGCGTGGGGTATAAGAGGGAGGAGGGATGGGTAAGATGGGGAGTCAGTAAGATGGGGAATGAGGGGGCGATGGAGGATGGAATGTGTGTGGTGGGGCGATGTGATGTGAACTACCAGCGTTGGCTAGAAATCATCACTCTCGGTGTCTTTGGTGCTGCTCTCGCCTTAGTGCAAGGACTGGGATGGGGGAGAGAGGGGGTGGGAGTGGGAAGTGGTGTCGGAATGATGGAGTTGAGAAGAAGACGGAAGAGAGAGTGACGTGGCAGGGGGGGGGGGGGAAGACTTTTCAGATATGTCAAACATAGGAAAAGAATGAGGAGAAAAGGAAGAGAGATTGGCACAACATCACATGCGCCTGCTTGCCAAGACTGACTCACTTGACTCGGTATGTGTGCGCCTTCAAACGCGGATGGAAGCTCCCCCGGTTTATACCGAAACTCGCGAGCCGTGTGGATGTACATTGAGAAGAAACCCTCATGGCCTTTGAAGAACCGTTCCCAAAAGGGAGCCAATGGCAAAGGGCCACGTGTCATAAACAGAAAGGCGAGTTTCGGGGTTTGTATAGGCGCCTCGGTAAGGCCTATTCTCCCTACCTTATATCTGAGCAAGAAATCCCCATCTAGCTGATCAGTAAGATTAGCCTTAATCGACGGCGCGGATTCCACAGCAGAATTAGCCTGAGCGTCATTACCAGCAGTGTGATGTGTGATCTGATTGGTCGCCTGGGGAACAGAATCTACACTAGAATCTACAGCCAAATTTGGACCAATCGTGGAGTTGATCGAGGTTGCTTCAAGATCTCTAATATCTCGGTCTCGATTTCCATCTCTATAGCCATCCTTATCCAATGACATCACTCTCTGCCAATAGCCACGTTGGCACGTCCACCCTCCTGTCATGAGCCCTAGAAAGAAAACGATCGGCAGCACTAAGATGTATATCGGGCCCGCGCGTCTCGTGGATGGCCTTGCAGCGGATTTCCCGGCGCCGGGAGCAGAGGGGACGGGGGAAGATAAAGTGGGGAGGGAGGGGGAACGACCGACAGTCCGAGGCTCGGCCATGGCCGAATGCGCGGTGTGGGATTTAGCGACCTAGAGATTATCGGAATTAGGCAATAGGCCATTCTGGGATCTAAAATCTATCACGGAGGAAAAACGGTCCGTAATGGCACGCGAGGCTCCGTTATCATCAACATGCCCCATGCCGCCCAAAGTCACCATGGTTGCTGGTTTATGCCATGTGATGTGATGTGTGTGGGGTGAGAGAAATACCGCTTTCCGGCACACTTCATTGGGAGATTTCGTACCCGTTACGCGTCTAGCTTGACTGACCGTCCCGATAAAGGCAGGTGTGAGATATCTTCCAAGGAGATTAGATCATGCAATATGTGTAGTTGTGTGTTACACAACAGAATCTATAATCAGCACTTCACTGAATGTGCAGTCGTATCATTCAATGTCCCTAAAGAAATCAGCCATTGCTGACCCACGTGCCTTAAAATTTCCACGACGGTTGGGAGACCGACGCCTTTTCCTCCCTGCGACAGCACAGCAAGCAAAAAAAAAAAAGAGAGATGATGTGTATGTGTGCACAAGAAGCTCATATAGAAAACAATGCTCCATCTTAGTGCACCATAGTTTTTAGACAATGCGTGAGCAAATAGACCCCAACTTCTTAAGAAAAAAGAGCAAATACACTTACCTCCCTTGCCCCCGTCATCGTCACTGCTGTCTGAGTCGTTATCTCTGCCACCTCCCTTCTGCTCACTGTCACTGTCACTCCCCTTACAGTCACCCCTTTTACCAGCATCACTCTGCTCCTTCCCCACCCCTGCACCGTTCCCTGCTTGTTCTGCCCCTCCATTTCCCTCTCCCGTTTCATCAGCACCAGCAGCAGCAGATGCCAGCTCATTTGAATCTTTTCCATTTGCCACTGTACTATCTCCTCCTCCTGCTTCATTCTTATCATCTTGCTTCTCCTCTTCCTCTTCCTCTTCCTCTTCCTCCTCCCTGTCCTCTCCCTCCTCATCTAAAATTCCTGCAATGTCCCATGCCTTAGGGAGGGAGTCGATGAGAGCCAAGAGTATGGAGAAGGGGAGAAGGTGCAACGTGGAGGGAGCGTGTGCGAAGCAAAGAAAGAGCAGACATATCGTGACAGAAAAGAGGTAGCAACAAGACAAAACCACGTCTGTTGGACCCATAGGAGGCGTAAAACGCGAGTGTTTCATGAGAATAGAAAAAGCGAGCAGCAATGATTGCCCGCCAGTTGACACCAAACCTCAAGCGTCTGATTGTGAACATCCATCGTCTGCTCACGAGCAGCCAATCCATTCATTCTTGTCACTCTCCATTTTGCAGCACAAGCAACCCAGCAGCCCAGGAGCCCCTCACCTTGATCTTCTGGTCGTGCCCCGCGCTCACAAGCAGGTTGTGGTCGTGCGACAGTGCTGCGGGGGGGAGGTAGGGAAGGTGGGTGTGGTTACAGGATCGGATGGGATGGGTACCAGGTAGGGAAGGTGGGTGTGGTTACAGGATCGGATGGGATGGGTACCAGGTGGGGAAGGTGGGTGTGATTACAGGGTCGGATGGAATGGGTACCAGGTGGGGAAGGTGGGTGTGGTTACAGGGTCGGATGGGATGGGTACCAGGTGGGGAAGGTGGGTGTGGTTACAGGGTCGGATGGGATGGGTACCAGGTGGGGAAGGTGGGTGTGGTTACAGGGTCGGATGGGATGGGTACCAGGTGGGGAAGGTGGGTGTGGTTACAGGGTCGGATGGGATGGGTACCAGGTGGGGAAGGTGGGTGTGGTTACAGGGTCGGATGGGATGGGTACCAGGTGGGGAAGGTGGGTGTGGTTACAGGGTCGGATGGGATGGGTACCAGGTGGGGAAGGTGGGTGTGGTTACAGGGTCGGATGGGATGGGTACCAGGTGGGGAAGGTGGGTGTGGTTACAGGGTCGGATGGGATGGGTACCAGGTGGGGAAGGTGGGTGTGGTTACAGGATCGGATGGGATGGGTACCAGGTGGGGAAGGTGGGTGTGGTTACAGGGTCGGATGGGATGGGTACCAGGTGGGGAAGGTGGGTGTGGTTACAGGGTCGGATGGGATGGGTACCAGGTGGGGAAGGTGGGTGTGGTTACAGGGTCGGATGGGATGGGTACCAGGTGGGGAAGGTGGGTGTGGTTACAGGGTCGGATGGGATGGGTACCAGGTGGGGAAGGTGGGTGTGGTTACAGGGTCGGATGGGATGGGTACCAGGTGGGGAAGGTGGGTGTGGTTACAGGGTCGGATGGGATGGGTACCAGGTGGGGAAGGTGGGTGTGGTTACAGGGTCGGATGGGATGGGTACCAGGTGGGGAAGGTGGGTGTGGTTACAGGGTCGGATGGGATGGGTACCAGGTGGGGAAGGTGGGTGTGGTTACAGGGTCGGATGGGATGGGTACCAGGTGGGGAAGGTGGGTGTGGTTACAGGGTCGGATGGGATGGGTACCAGGTGGGGAAGGTGGGTGTGGTTACAGGGTCGGATGGGATGGGTACCAGGTGGGGAAGGTGGGTGTGGTTACAGGGTCGGATGGGATGGGTACCAGGTGGGGAAGGTGGGTGTGGTTACAGGGTCGGATGGGATGGGTACCAGGTGGGGAAGGTGGGTGTGGTTACAGGGTCGGATGGGATGGGTACCAGGTGGGGAAGGTGGGTGTGGTTACAGGGTCGGATGGGATGGGTACCAGGTGGGGAAGGTGGGTGTGGTTACAGGGTCGGATGGGATGGGTACCAGGTGGGGAAGGTGGGTGTGGTTACAGGGTCGGATGGGATGGGTACCAGGTGGGGAAGGTGGGTGTGGTTACAGGGTCGGATGGGATGGGTACCAGGTGGGGAAGGTGGGTGTGGTTACAGGGTCGGATGGGATGGGTACCAGGTGGGGAAGGTGGGTGTGGTTACAGGGTCGGATGGGATGGGTACCAGGTGGGGAAGGTGGGTGTGGTTACAGGGTCGGATGGGATGGGTACCAGGTGGGGAAGGTGGGTGTGGTTACAGGGTCGGATGGGATGGGTACCAGGTGGGGAAGGTGGGTGTGGTTACAGGGTCGGATGGGATGGGTACCAGGTGGGGAAGGTGGGTGTGGTTACAGGGTCGGATGGGATGGGTACCAGGTGGGGAAGGTGGGTGTGGTTACAGGGTCGGATGGGATGGGTACCAGGTGGGGAAGGTGGGTGTGGTTACAGGGTCGGATGGGATGGGTACCAGGTGGGGAAGGTGGGTGTGGTTACAGGGTCGGATGGGATGGGTACCAGGTGGGGAAGGTGGGTGTGGTTACAGGGTCGGATGGGATGGGTACCAGGTGGGGAAGGTGGGTGTGGTTACAGGGTCGGATGGGATGGGTACCAGGTGGGGAAGGTGGGTGTGGTTACAGGGTCGGATGGGATGGGTACCAGGTGGGGAAGGTGGGTGTGGTTACAGGGTCGGATGGGATGGGTACCAGGTGGGGAAGGTGGGTGTGGTTACAGGGTCGGATGGGATGGGTACCAGGTGGGGAAGGTGGGTGTGGTTACAGGGTCGGATGGGATGGGTACCAGGTGGGGAAGGTGGGTGTGGTTACAGGGTCGGATGGGATGGGTACCAGGTGGGGAAGGTGGGTGTGGTTACAGGGTCGGATGGGATGGGTACCAGGTGGGGAAGGTGGGTGTGGTTACAGGGTCGGATGGGATGGGTACCAGGTGGGGAAGGTGGGTGTGGTTACAGGGTCGGATGGGATGGGTACCAGGTGGGGAAGGTGGGTGTGGTTACAGGGTCGGATGGGATGGGTACCAGGTGGGGAAGGTGGGTGTGGTTACAGGGTCGGATGGGATGGGTACCAGGTGGGGAAGGTGGGTGTGGTTACAGGGTCGGATGGGATGGGTACCAGGTGGGGAAGGTGGGTGTGGTTACAGGGTCGGATGGGATGGGTACCAGGTGGGGAAGGTGGGTGTGGTTACAGGGTCGGATGGGATGGGTACCAGGTGGGGAAGGTGGGTGTGGTTACAGGGTCGGATGGGATGGGTACCAGGTGGGGAAGGTGGGTGTGGTTACAGGGTCGGATGGGATGGGTACCAGGTGGGGAAGGTGGGTGTGGTTACAGGGTCGGATGGGATGGGTACCAGGTGGGGAAGGTGGGTGTGGTTACAGGGTCGGATGGGATGGGTACCAGGTGGGGAAGGTGGGTGTGGTTACAGGGTCGGATGGGATGGGTACCAGGTGGGGAAGGTGGGTGTGGTTACAGGGTCGGATGGGATGGGTACCAGGTGGGGAAGGTGGGTGTGGTTACAGGGTCGGATGGGATGGGTACCAGGTGGGGAAGGTGGGTGTGGTTACAGGGTCGGATGGGATGGGTACCAGGTGGGGAAGGTGGGTGTGGTTACAGGGTCGGATGGGATGGGTACCAGGTGGGGAAGGTGGGTGTGGTTACAGGGTCGGATGGGATGGGTACCAGGTGGGGAAGGTGGGTGTGGTTACAGGGTCGGATGGGATGGGTACCAGGTGGGGAAGGTGGGTGTGGTTACAGGGTCGGATGGGATGGGTACCAGGTGGGGAAGGTGGGTGTGGTTACAGGGTCGGATGGGATGGGTACCAGGTGGGGAAGGTGGGTGTGGTTACAGGGTCGGATGGGATGGGTACCAGGTGGGGAAGGTGGGTGTGGTTACAGGGTCGGATGGGATGGGTACCAGGTGGGGAAGGTGGGTGTGGTTACAGGGTCGGATGGGATGGGTACCAGGTGGGGAAGGTGGGTGTGGTTACAGGGTCGGATGGGATGGGTACCAGGTGGGGAAGGTGGGTGTGGTTACAGGGTCGGATGGGATGGGTACCAGGTGGGGAAGGTGGGTGTGGTTACAGGGTCGGATGGGATGGGTACCAGGTGGGGAAGGTGGGTGTGGTTACAGGGTCGGATGGGATGGGTACCAGGTGGGGAAGGTGGGTGTGGTTACAGGGTCGGATGGGATGGGTACCAGGTGGGGAAGGTGGGTGTGGTTACAGGGTCGGATGGGATGGGTACCAGGTGGGGAAGGTGGGTGTGGTTACAGGGTCGGATGGGATGGGTACCAGGTGGGGAAGGTGGGTGTGGTTACAGGGTCGGATGGGATGGGTACCAGGTGGGGAAGGTGGGTGTGGTTACAGGGTCGGATGGGATGGGTACCAGGTGGGGAAGGTGGGTGTGGTTACAGGGTCGGATGGGATGGGTACCAGGTGGGGAAGGTGGGTGTGGTTACAGGGTCGGATGGGATGGGTACCAGGTGGGGAAGGTGGGTGTGGTTACAGGGTCGGATGGGATGGGTACCAGGTGGGGAAGGTGGGTGTGGTTACAGGGTCGGATGGGATGGGTACCAGGTGGGGAAGGTGGGTGTGGTTACAGGGTCGGATGGGATGGGTACCAGGTGGGGAAGGTGGGTGTGGTTACAGGGTCGGATGGGATGGGTACCAGGTGGGGAAGGTGGGTGTGGTTACAGGGTCGGATGGGATGGGTACCAGGTGGGGAAGGTGGGTGTGGTTACAGGGTCGGATGGGATGGGTACCAGGTGGGGAAGGTGGGTGTGGTTACAGGGTCGGATGGGATGGGTACCAGGTGGGGAAGGTGGGTGTGGTTACAGGGTCGGATGGGATGGGTACCAGGTGGGGAAGGTGGGTGTGGTTACAGGGTCGGATGGGATGGGTACCAGGTGGGGAAGGTGGGTGTGGTTACAGGGTCGGATGGGATGGGTACCAGGTGGGGAAGGTGGGTGTGGTTACAGGGTCGGATGGGATGGGTACCAGGTGGGGAAGGTGGGTGTGGTTACAGGGTCGGATGGGATGGGTACCAGGTGGGGAAGGTGGGTGTGGTTACAGGGTCGGATGGGATGGGTACCAGGTGGGGAAGGTGGGTGTGGTTACAGGGTCGGATGGGATGGGTACCAGGTGGGGAAGGTGGGTGTGGTTACAGGGTCGGATGGGATGGGTACCAGGTGGGGAAGGTGGGTGTGGTTACAGGGTCGGATGGGATGGGTACCAGGTGGGGAAGGTGGGTGTGGTTACAGGGTCGGATGGGATGGGTACCAGGTGGGGAAGGTGGGTGTGGTTACAGGGTCGGATGGGATGGGTACCAGGTGGGGAAGGTGGGTGTGGTTACAGGGTCGGATGGGATGGGTACCAGGTGGGGAAGGTGGGTGTGGTTACAGGGTCGGATGGGATGGGTACCAGGTGGGGAAGGTGGGTGTGGTTACAGGGTCGGATGGGATGGGTACCAGGTGGGGAAGGTGGGTGTGGTTACAGGGTCGGATGGGATGGGTACCAGGTGGGGAAGGTGGGTGTGGTTACAGGGTCGGATGGGATGGGTACCAGGTGGGGAGGAAGAGTGAGAACAGAACGTCTTTGTTCATGGAACTGACAGAAACTAGACGACGCACATGGATGGATGGATGGATGGATGGATGGATGGATGGATGGATGGATGGATGGATGGATGGATGGATGGATGGATGGATGGATGGATGGATGGATGGATGGATGGATGGATGGATGGATGGATGGATGGATGCTGTAACATGAAGTGTTGGCTGGCATGGCTGAGCTGAACCAATCGTGAGTTTTGAGACGCCTCAAAACTCGTCTCAAAACTTTTGAGATGTCTCAAAACAGACAGAAACTAAACGGAGCACATGGACGCTGTAACACGCAGTGATGCCATAGCATTGGATGTGATGGCATAGCTGAACCACCCGACTTTTGAGGCGCCTCAAAAGTCATGCAGTGATGTTATAGAATTGGATGTGATGGTATGGCTGAACCAACCATGATGCCACAGCCACAGCACGTCATCTCTAAGTTGCAAATTTTACGGCCATTATAGCAGCATTGGATTGAACCATTCAGAGACACTTCAACACACCGAGTCGCTCCGCAGCAGCAGGGTCCGGGTGCGGGCACGCAACACCCAAAAAGAGGTTGGGGATTGCAGCATTTAGGTAACTGACATGATTGAATGAGAGTTTTATCTCTGGAATGGCATTGGACCATCCATCCATACACCCACGTAACCACCACTCGCCCACACGCCCACCACCAAAACCACCCACCCACCCGCTCACCCATCTACCCACCCACCCACTCACCCAGTACCTCCACAGCAGCGTCAGTGTGCGAGCCGACGGCAATCAGACAGCGGTTGGGGAAACAGCATTAAGTTCAGCCAATAGGCATAGTGGCATATTATCCCAGCCCCAGCAGCCACTCACCCAGTGCCTCCACAGCAGCATCAGTGTGCGAGCCCACAACATCCAAAAAGCGGTTGGGGAAGACCGAGACGACTCGGATGAGCCCATCGGAGCAGGCTGTGAGCAGCGTGTCATCGTCCAACTGATAGTGCGTGGGGGGCGAGAGAGAATGAGGGCATGAGGGCATGTGGGGCAGCAAGGGGGAGTGTGGGGCAGCAAGGGGGGGTGTGGGGCAGCAAGGGGGAGTGTGGGGCAGCAAGGGGGGGTGTGGGGCAGCAAGGGGGAGTGTAGGGCAGCAAGGGGGGGTGTAGGGCAGGACGGATGAGTGTAGGGCAGGAAGGGGATGATAAGCTGATAAGGTGCTGGATAAGCCCATCAGAGCGGGCTTTGCATAGCATGTCAGTGTCCAGCTGATGGAAAAAAGGGTATGGCAAGGATGAGAGCATGGAAGTGGCGAGAAGGAAAGCGAGATTGCAGCAGGTCATGGAAGGGAGGTAAGGAGGGAAAGTAAAGGACACAGGCGGGCAGGTAAGTATAGGAAGGAGTCGGGCCGGGTAAGCAAAGGAGAGAAGAAGGGAAAGGAGGCACTCACAGGGAGAATGGCATCCACTGAACCCCCGTGACCAGGAGGAGAGGGAGGAGGGACGAGGGAAGAGGAGAGGGAAGCGGGAGGAGGAGAATGGAAAGTAGGAGAAGGGAAAGAAGGCACTCACAGGCAGAATGGCATCCACTGAACCCCCGTGACCTCGAAAGCGATCACTGTGGATGGTGGAGGGGAGAGAGGGGGAAGAGTGAAGAGGGTCAAGGTGAGAGCGATGACAGGCATGAAAGAACGCAAGGGATGGATGTAGGTATGAGATATAAGAAAGAAAACGCATTCACCACCATACTCAATTTTGACACTCACTCACTCCTCTCACTTGACACTCGATAGCCATAACATCACTCACTCCTCTCACTCTGCCACAATTCATTGCTGTCACATTTCAATACAGCAACAATTCAATTCTGTCGCATTTCAATACTGTCACTGTCATATTTCAGCACTGTCACAACATGCATCAAATCATGCTCACTTGTCCCGCTCCGCCCCATTCATGTTGAAGAAGTAGAGCAGCCCGCTCTGAGAACCACACACCACCTTGGAGTCGCTCTGTGGGAGGAAATAATGGGGGAGAGGGGAGAGAAGAGGGAAGGGGGAAAAAAGAAGCGGGGAATGAGCGAGAGCAGGAAAGGGAGAGCAGCCCGCTCGGAGAACCACACACCACCTTGGAGTCGCTCTGAGGGAGGGGGGTGATGGGATGGTGGGATATAAGGGGGATATTGGATAAGGAAGAGGGTCAGGGAGGAAAAAAATGATACAGGAGGGGAAAAGTCAGGTTCAGCAGCAGCCATGCAACGGACGCAAACGAACCATGGATGCATGCATGCCTGGATGGACACATGCACACACATACACACATGCGTGTATGTACTACTGTTACAAGGGAGAGCAGGTCATCATCAGTGCTGTCGATCTGTGCTGTGATATGCACCGCATGGTGCATTGGCGGGCACAAGTGGTGTGAGAAGATCACACACATGTGCACACATGCGCACTCATGCGCACTCATGCGCACTCATGCGCACACATGCGCACTCATGCGCACACATGCGCACTCATGCGCACACATGCGCACTCATGCGCACACATGCGCAATCATGCGCACTCATACGCACACATGCGCCACATGCGTCCACATGCGCCCACATGCGCACGCACACATGAGCACACATGCGCACACATGCGCACACATGCGCACTCATGCGCACACATGCGCCACATGCGTCCACATGCGCCCACATGCGCACGCACACATGCGCCCACATGCGCATACATGCGCACACATGCGCCCACATGCGCCCACATGCGCACACATGCGCCCACATGCGCCCACATGCGCACACATGCGCACACATGCGCAAACATGCGCACACATGCGCACACATGCGCACACATGCGCACACATGCGCACTCATGCGCACACATGCGCAATCATGCGCACTCATACGCACACATGCGCCACATGCGTCCACATGCGCCCACATGCGCACGCACACATGCGCACACATGCGCACACATGCGCACACATGCGCACTCATGCGCACACATGCGCACATATGCGCACTCATGCGCGCTCATACGCACACATGCGCCACATGCGTCCACATGCGCACACATGCGCCCACATGCGCACACATGCGCCCACATGCGCACTCATGCGCACTCATGCGCACACATGCGCACACATGCGCACTCATGCGCACTCATGCGCACACATGCGCACTCATGCGCACTCATGCGCACACAAGCGCACTCATGCGCACTCATACGCACACATGCGCCACATGCGTCCACATGCGCCCACATGCGCACGCACACATGCGCACACATGCGCCCACATGCGCACCCATGCGCCCACATGCGCCCACATGCGCCCACATGCGCACACATGCGCCCACATGCGCACACATGCGCACACATGCGCACACATGTGCACACATGCGCACACATGCGCAAACATGCGCACACATGCGCACACATGCGCACACATGCGCACACATGCGCACACATGCGCCCACATGCATGCCTGCACGTACCTTGACTGCAACAATGGAGAGCAGGTCATCATCAGTGCTGTCTGTGTGCGCTGTCATCTGCATCATGTATTGTGTGCGAATGGTATGAGCAGGTTACACACATGCATTCTCACATGTACACATATGTTCCCACATGCACACATGCACATATGCACATACACAGACACACAAACAGCACACCTGGTGAGAGTGGAGTAATTGCCACAAAAGGGAGAGGGAGGGAGAGAGAGACGTAGATTCAAAGCGAGTTCACTGCTAATTGCTGGTGTCTGAGAGGTAGTTCCCAGGCCCACAACAGCCCTGGAGCCATGCTTTCAACAAGCTGCTTTGAGACGACTCAAAACGGCCATCGCCACTGGCAGATGCACACAGGTGGTTGCAGGACGGGAGGGGTCCATCTTTAGAGATACACCCAATGCAATTCCAACACATTCCCAACAAGGATTTCAAACTCTTGTTTAAAGATGGCTCACTCACTCTGTTAGTTGCTAGGTCAACAACAGCCATGGAGCCATCGCCACTGGAGGAAACAATTGCAGGAGGCAAGAGGTTGAGCGTTGAATCACAATCATAACACATTCCCAACACCGACTCAGAAACCCTTGTATAGACATCTCACCCTGTTGGTTGCGAGGTCCACCACAGCCATGGAGCCATCGCCACTGAAGGCAAGCAGATGGTTGCTGGGTCAGCACACGCCCAACACAACACACTCCTAACACTGATTCAACACATGCGCACAGAGACAACTCACCCTGTTGGTGGCAAGGTCCACAACCGCCATAGAGCCATCGCCACTGGAGGCAAGCAGGCGGTTGCAGGAGGGGAGGGGGCGGATGTCGGTGATGTAGTCCGATGCCACCTGCACGGCTGCTGTGCTGCCCACTGCACTGCCATCCTGCCTCAAGTCCCACAACTGGAGAAGGAGCATAGAATATGGGAGCATAGAACATGGGAGCATAGAATTAAGCACACCGGAAGGGAGGGGCCACAGAGAGACACAAGGAGGAGGGGATGGGCCGGATGTGATATAGTCCGATGCCACCTGCACGGTTGCTGTGCTGCCCACTGCACTGCCGTCCTGCCTGAGATCCCATTACTGCAAAAGGAGTCACTGAAGCAAGCACACACAACCGCACACAGGTAACAGGAGGAGATGGGTGGGATATCAGTGAGTGACATAGTCCGATGCCACCTGCATGGCTGACGTGCTTCCCACTGCACCGCCGGTCTGCCTCAAGTCCCACAGCTGTGAAAGAGCACATAGAAGCAAGCACAGAGGTAGACAGAGGAGGGGAGGGGTGGGATATCACTGAAAGGTAGTGAGACCCCACAGCTGCAGGCAGGCATGAAGCATAGGGCATGCATAGCATGGTTGGCATTGACCCACCTTGACCGGCGTTGACCCAACTTGACTCACTTTGACCGCTCTTGACTCACCTTGACTCACCTTGACCGCCCTTGATTCACCTTGACTGCCGTTGACTCACCTTGACTCACTTTGACTCACCTTGACTGCCGTTGACTCACCTTAACCGCTGTTGACCCACCTTGACTGTGCCGGAATCATCACCGGAAGCAACACAGGAGTCACCCCAACATGACAACCGGTTGATGCCCTCACTGCACACAGTGAAAGCAGCGAATACACAGAGAGCGGTGAAAAAAGACGTGCTTCCCAGCTGAATTTCAAACAGGCAACCGCTCGCTGCAAACCGTCCCAGACACTCAAGAATTCTCAAAACGGAAGGGATTTGTACGATCAGCTGTATTGGAGTCACTTTTAGAATTCTGAAATGTGACTCCTGAGTGAAGTTCAAACAGGCCACAGATCCATGTATATAGTAACCAACCCAGACAGATTACGACCTGCTGAGACTCTGAACCCACCTGTGTGCGCTCATGACCTTGCTCACTCGCTCCCCCGTCTCCACATCCCGCACCACAATGGACTTGTCTGCAGCTGCTGACACCACAACTGGGGGGTGTGCCGAGCAGTGAGGTGAAATTTAGCAAGGGAAAGGGAGGGGGGGTTTTGAGACATCTCGAAACTTGATCTCGCTCACTCGCTCCCCTGTCTCCACGTTCCGCACCACAATCGACTTGTCTGCTGCTGCTGACGCCGCAACTGGGGGAGATAACAAGGGAGGGAAAAGGGGTGGGGGGTGAGAGGGTGCAAAAACTACTGCACATTCACGCCACAAGGGATTGCTGGCAACAGTTTGTGATAAAAAATTCTAGGATCACTTTCACTTTTGAGTATTCTCAAAGAAAGAAAAACAAGAGGGCATGTGAATTGTGATCACATCTCAAAACAAGAGGGTATGTGAATTGTGATCACATCTCAAAACAAGAGGGTATGTGAATTGTGATCACATCTCAAAACAAGAGGGTATGTGAATTGTGATCACATCTCAAAACAAGAGGGTATGTGAATTGTGATCACATCTCAAAACAAGAGGGTATGTGAATTGTGATCACATCTCAAAACAAGAGGGTATGTGAATTGTGATCACATCTCAAAACAAGAGGGTATGTGAATTGTGATCACATCTCAAAACAAGAGGGTATGTGAATTGTGATCACATCTCAAAACAAGAGGGTATGTGAATTGTGATCACATCTCAAAACAAGAGGGTATGTGAATTGTGATCACATCTCAAAACAAGAGGGTATGTGAATTGTGATCACATCTCAAAACAAGAGGGTATGTGAATTGTGATCACATCTCAAAACAAGAGGGTATGTGAATTGTGATCACATCTCAAAACAAGAGGGTATGTGAATTGTGATCACATCTCAAAACAAGAGGGTATGTGAATTGTGATCACATCTCAAAACAAGAGGGTATGTGAATTGTGATCACATCTCAAAACAAGAGGGTATGTGAATTGTGATCACATCTCAAAACAAGAGGGTATGTGAATTGTGATCACATCTCAAAACAAGAGGGTATGTGAATTGTGATCACATCTCAAAACAAGAGGGTATGTGAATTGTGATCACATCTCAAAACAAGAGGGTATGTGAATTGTGATCACATCTCAAAACAAGAGGGTATGTGAATTGTGATCACATCTCAAAACAAGAGGGTATGTGAATTGTGATCACATCTCAAAACAAGAGGGTATGTGAATTGTGATCACATCTCAAAACAAGAGGGTATGTGAATTGTGATCACATCTCAAAACAAGAGGGTATGTGAATTGTGATCACATCTCAAAACAAGAGGGTATGTGAATTGTGATCACATCTCAAAACAAGAGGGTATGTGAATTGTGATCACATCTCAAAACAAGAGGGTATGTGAATTGTGATCACATCTCAAAACAAGAGGGTATGTGAATTGTGATCACATCTCAAAACAAGAGGGTATGTGAATTGTGATCACATCTCAAAACAAGAGGGTATGTGAATTGTGATCACATCTCAAAACAAGAGGGTATGTGAATTGTGATCACATCTAAAAACAAGAGGGTATGTGAATTGTGATCACATCTAAAAACAAGAGGGTATGTGAATTGTGATCACATCTAAAAACAAGAGGGTATGTGAATTGTGATCACATCTCAAAACAAGAGGGTATGTGAATTGTGATCACATCTCAAAACAAGAGGGTATGTGAATTGTGATCACATCTAAAAACAAGAGGGTATGTGAATTGTGATCACATCTAAAAACAAGAGGGTATGTGAATTGTGATCACATCTCAAAACAAGAGGGTATGTGAATTGTGATCACATCTCAAAACAAGAGGGTATGTGAATTGTGATCACATCTCAAAACAAGAGGGTATGTGAATTGTGATCACATCTCAAAACAAGAGGGTATGTGAATTGTGATCACATCTAAAAACAAGAGGGTATGTGAATTGTGATCACATCTAAAAACAAGAGGGTATGTGAATTGTGATCACATCTCAAAACAAGAGGGTATGTGAATTGTGATCACATCTCAAAACAAGAGGGTATGTGAATTGTGATCACATCTAAAAACAAGAGGGTATGTGAATTGTGATCACATCTAAAAACAAGAGGGTATGTGAATTGTGATCACATCTCAAAACAAGAGGGTATGTGAATTGTGATCACATCTCAAAACAAGAGGGTATGTGAATTGTGATCACATCTCAAAACAAGAGGGTATGTGAATTGTGATCACATCTCAAAACAAGAGGGTATGTGAATTGTGATCACATCTCAAAACAAGAGGGTATGTGAATTGTGATCACATCTCAAAACAAGAGGGTATGTGAATTGTGATCACATCTCAAAACAAGAGGGTATGTGAATTGTGATCACATCTCAAAACAAGAGGGTATGTGAATTGTGATCACATCTCAAAACAAGAGGGTATGTGAATTGTGATCACATCTAAAAACAAGAGGGTATGTGAATTGTGATCACATCTCAAAACAAGAGGGTATGTGAATTGTGATCACATCTCAAAACAAGAGGGTATGTGAATTGTGATCACATCTCAAAACAAGAGGGTATGTGAATTGTGATCACATCTAAAAACAAGAGGGTATGTGAATTGTGATCACATCTAAAAACAAGAGGGTATGTGAATTGTGATCACATCTAAAAACAAGAGGGTATGTGAATTGTGATCACATCTCAAAACAAGAGGGTATGTGAATTGTGATCACATCTCAAAACAAGAGGGTATGTGAATTGTGATCACATCTAAAAACAAGAGGGTATGTGAATTGTGATCACATCTAAAAACAAGAGGGTATGTGAATTGTGATCACATCTCAAAACAAGAGGGTATGTGAATTGTGATCACATCTCAAAACAAGAGGGTATGTGAATTGTGATCACATCTCAAAACAAGAGGGTATGTGAATTGTGATCACATCTCAAAACAAGAGGGTATGTGAATTGTGATCACATCTCAAAACAAGAGGGTATGTGAATTGTGATCACATCTCAAAACAAGAGGGTATGTGAATTGTGATCACATCTCAAAACAAGAGGGTATGTGAATTGTGATCACATCTCAAAACAAGAGGGTATGTGAATTGTGATCACATCTCAAAACAAGAGGGTATGTGAATTGTGATCACATCTAAAAACAAGAGGGTATGTGAATTGTGATCACATCTCAAAACAAGAGGGTATGTGAATTGTGATCACATCTCAAAACAAGAGGGTATGTGAATTGTGATCACATCTCAAAACAAGAGGGTATGTGAATTGTGATCACATCTAAAAACAAGAGGGTATGTGAATTGTGATCACATCTAAAAACAAGAGGGTATGTGAATTGTGATCACATCTAAAAACAAGAGGGTATGTGAATTGTGATCACATCTCAAAACAAGAGGGTATGTGAATTGTGATCACATCTCAAAACAAGAGGGTATGTGAATTGTGATCACATCTCAAAACAAGAGGGTATGTGAATTGTGATCACATCTCAAAACAAGAGGGTATGTGAATTGTGATCACATCTCAAAACAAGAGGGTATGTGAATTGTGATCACATCTCAAAACAAGAGGGTATGTGAATTGTGATCACATCTCAAAACAAGAGGGTATGTGAATTGTGATCACATCTCAAAACAAGAGGGTATGTGAATTGTGATCACATCTCAAAACAAGAGGGTATGTGAATTGTGATCACATCTCAAAACAAGAGGGTATGTGAATTGTGATCACATCTCAAAACAAGAGGGTATGTGAATTGTGATCACATCTCAAAACAAGAGGGTATGTGAATTGTGATCACATCTCAAAACAAGAGGGTATGTGAATTGTGATCACATCTCAAAACAAGAGGGTATGTGAATTGTGATCACATCTCAAAACAAGAGGGTATGTGAATTGTGATCACATCTCAAAACAAGAGGGTATGTGAATTGTGATCACATCTCAAAACAAGAGGGTATGTGAATTGTGATCACATCTCAAAACAAGAGGGTATGTGAATTGTGATCACATCTCAAAACAAGAGGGTATGTGAATTGTGATCACATCTCAAAACAAGAGGGTATGTGAATTGTGATCACATCTCAAAACAAGAGGGTATGTGAATTGTGATCACATCTCAAAACAAGAGGGTATGTGAATTGTGATCACATCTCAAAACAAGAGGGTATGTGAATTGTGATCACATCTCAAAACAAGAGGGTATGTGAATTGTGATCACATCTCAAAACAAGAGGGTATGTGAATTGTGATCACATCTCAAAACAAGAGGGTATGTGAATTGTGATCACATCTCAAAACAAGAGGGTATGTGAATTGTGATCACATCTCAAAACAAGAGGGTATGTGAATTGTGATCACATCTCAAAACAAGAGGGTATGTGAATTGTGATCACATCTCAAAACAAGAGGGTATGTGAATTGTGATCACATCTCAAAACAAGAGGGTATGTGAATTGTGATCACATCTCAAAACAAGAGGGTATGTGAATTGTGATCACATCTCAAAACAAGAGGGTATGTGAATTGTGATCACATCTAAAAACAAGAGGGTATGTGAATTGTGATCACATCTCAAAACAAGAGGGTATGTGAATTGTGATCACATCTCAAAACAAGAGGGTATGTGAATTGTGATCACATCTCAAAACAAGAGGGTATGTGAATTGTGATCACATCTCAAAACAAGAGGGTATGTGAATTGTGATCACATCTCAAAACAAGAGGGTATGTGAATTGTGATCACATCTCAAAACAAGAGGGTATGTGAATTGTGATCACATCTAAAAACAAGAGGGTATGTGAATTGTGATCACATCTCAAAACAAGAGGGTATGTGAATTGTGATCACATCTCAAAACAAGAGGGTATGTGAATTGTGATCACATCTAAAAACAAGAGGGTATGTGAATTGTGATCACATCTAAAAACAAGAGGGTATGTGAATTGTGATCACATCTCAAAACAAGAGGGTATGTGAATTGTGATCACATCTCAAAACAAGAGGGTATGTGAATTGTGATCACATCTCAAAACAAGAGGGTATGTGAATTGTGATCACATCTCAAAACAAGAGGGTATGTGAATTGTGATCACATCTCAAAACAAG